AAGGGCTACGCGGTGACCTTTCATGTGGACATTGGGCTCCGCTCGGAAGCGGAGCCTCTGTGGCAGATCTTCAACACATGGGTGGACCTCCAGGCCTGGGTGTTGGGGGCGGTGAGAATTCGGCCCCATCGGCTGAAGCGACCGCCCGCGGCCGATCGTCTATCGGTCTGGCTTGGCAATCACTGAGGCTTCAGAATTCTTGCAATCATTGTTATGCTAATTCTGTGGTGCTTGCTTGTGGTCGATGGCTGCAGCCTTCACCTCTAACTGCAGCTGCCGCAGGTGCCAATCCTTTCATGAAAGCGCTTGCTGCACTACAAGGCTTAAGCTTCTCTCGTGATTATGGCCTCTTCAACATGCTCTCTTGGAGGTCGCTGTTTACGGGGTGGAGCAGGCCGAATCAACAGCATGATGCGACCGAATTCCTTCTTCATCTGCTGCGCCAGGGGTCTGATGCTCCTTGGGTGAGCCGCTGGCTGGCTGGTACACAACTAGGCGACCGCTTCGAGGTTGAGGATTCGGGCTCCAATGTCGTCTTGATGCCAATTGCAGGTGCTGGCGATGCTGAGAGATACACTCTCCAAGAGTGTGTCACCGCGTGGCATACGAAATCTTCGCAACTCTGGGAGGGCAAAACATGTCTTTATTGCATCAGTGAGTTTGAGACTCATGTGTGCATTGTGTTGCAGCGATTCCAAGTCAATGCAGCGGCGATTACCACATGCCATACTCCGGTGCAGGTGGATTCTACATGTGAGTTGCCGGTGTATCGTGCTGGAGCTGTTGTGTGGCAGCCCTTTCAAGTATGTGCAGTGACTTATCACATTGGCAATTTGCCGACCAGCGGTCACTACAGAAGCATTCTTTACTTGAATGATGGGCTGCAGCTTGCAACTGAAGACAAAGTGAAAGCTAAGAAACTGAGTGCGAAGGATCGTAGCTTAAGTAGTGCTGGTGCTTACATTGTGTACTTGTCCTCAAATCCTTGATTGTTGCTTTTGCATTGCATCGTACTCGTGTGTTTCACTGACGGCTCGCTGACACTCGTGTCGGGGCGCCATGCAGGCACTCGTGCCGATGGCTGAATGTGTGCGTAGCTGTACACAGTCACTTGTTACATGTAACACACGTGTAACATATAGTGACCGGGTCCAAAAGGACTTGTTCTTGTGCCACTTGCGCGCAAGGTGGAGACCGCAACTCTCGCCCGCGTTTTCAAAGTCAAAAAAAAGACTGCTTCGATTGCGCGGCAAATCCCTCTTGGACGGTCGGCTAAGGGACCTGCACCCTTGCGGAGCCCGGCTTTTCCGGACGGGTTGGCATCCTTGCGTCCCGAGGATCATGCTCGAGTACAAAGTGCAAATCTTTTGTATGCCTTTGCCGCCAAGGTTTGGACGTTCTGTCTTGAAGACGATATCCTTTGCATTGTGGAGAACCCGGCATCAAGCCTCATGTGGCAAACGTCGTGGTTTAGGACACTTGTCCCGCGTGGCGTGTGGCACGAGCTGCATTCTTGCATGTATGGACCTGCTCGAAAGAAGCGCACTGCCTTGCTGGCTACATGCCGCCTTCCAGGTCTCATGTTGCAGTGTGACAAATCACACGAACACAAGAAATGGGGTCGTGTGCGCGATCCGGACGGGCGTGGTGTGCACTATGCCACTGCCGAGGAAACCGCTTACCCAGCCGGCCTGTGTACGGCAGCAGCCCGTGAGATCTGCTTGGCATTGAAAAATAAAGGGATTATGCTTGATGTGCGCGCATCTTCGGACACGGCCCTGGCATCTTCCTTTGCACAGCGGCAGCCTCGCCGCGGCCGCGGCATTGTGGGTCCGCCTGAGTACAAACGGACTGTCCTTGTCCGGCTCCCTCGTGACTTTCAGCCCCCGGACCATGTGCCAGATGAGCCACTTGCAGTGCTTCGCGACGTGCCTGCGGGCTCCAAGCTTCTGTGGACTCGCGTCTTTGTTGATGGGGGTGTTGAGGTTCGCGAGGCCCAATTTGGGGTATACCATACACCGGATGAGTTTCTGCATGCTGCCTTGAAAGTGACCCATCCCTTCGACAGTGCAGTGTCTATTGACGGCCCTAACCTTCGGGCAATTGCATTCACTCTTGAGCATGGTGTTAAAGCTGTGCAGCAAAGACGTATGGAGGTCCTTGAGCACTATCGTGCACTGGAGCACTCTCTGAGGTCTGATGAGGACAACTTTCAATCGTGATTGATTAGTCTTTATTCTTGCCCAAAAACCTTTTGAAAATTTTGGGTGCGAAAATTTTCTGTCTGCATGTCAATCGTTGATTCGCCACACACTTTGTTTCCACGAAGCCTCTCTGGCTGAGGTGGGAGGTGGGAAACCCTAGCAACTTTCAAGGCCATATGGCTTGGTTTTGTTTTGTTGCTGGGGGTGTGTATGTTAAGAAACCAAGTCAGCCTGCGAATTGAGCCATGGCTGACTCTGGCAGATCAAAGTTTCCACGGCTGGACGAGCCTACGAGCGACTTGGGGCGCTTGTATGAGCGGGCATTGAGTGAGGCAAGTGTGCAGCTTGCGGGTCAGGCTACCTTGAAGTTACCCTGGGAGAAGGGCATTTATGCCGAGATTTTCAGTGGTAGCGAGCTGCCTAGGATGCCTACCTTACCTGTGCCTGCTACACTTCCAGTCGTAGATGTTGCAAGACCTGGGACTCAGCACAGCGAAGCCTTGAAGCAGACATCAGATCCTCTGCCAAAATTCGAGAGTGCAGTCTACAAGCACTGTCTGCATAAATCAACTATTGCTGCTGGCGGGAGACCCGGGACAGATCGAGATGCCGTCTACAGGCGCTGGCTTTGTATCGTGGGCCATAATCTTGCTGGCTCTAAGATTGGAGAGTACATTGCTGATGGTTCCGAAGACCCTCTTGTTTTGATTGCGGACACCTTTGGAGGGAAAAGTACGAGCACCTTGCTTAAGAGAGCCAGGTTTGTCGCCCGGATGCTTACGTGGGCGTCTGAGCATAGTCAGACGTTTTTTCCGCTGCGGCTTGGACCATTGCTTTCATTCATGCGCAGTTTGGCATCAGAGAGTGCCAAGGCCCAGTGTGGAGAGACGATCAATTTCCTTGTGCATGTCCTTGGTGTGCATGCCGATCAGGATATTTTGAAGCATCCTGTAATCCAAGGGCTTCTACGGGGGTCTCGGTCAACAGGGAAAGAGATCAAGCAGTCCAGGGTACTCACTGTCCGGGAAGTTATGGCGCTCGAAGATATGCTCAGTGATGCATCCCTTGATCCTGTTGATCGATATGGTGCAGGAGTTTTTCTCTTCCAGATTTACAGCCGGGCACGAGTGTCCGACATCAGGAACATCCATCGCTTTGAGCTCGACCTGAGTGGAGATGACGGATACCTTGAGGCGAAAACGATGGACCACAAGAATGCGACCAGAGGACGTGGGCTGGGGCAGAGCTTGATTCTCGTTGCTCCGGTTCAGGGCCTGCGGGATAAGGCGTGGGGCATCCAGTTCATCGAGGTTGCAAAGATGGTTGGGTTCAACCTTCGACAGGGGCATCGTGGACCGTTATTACCTAGACTTACTGCCGAGGGTCAGTGGTCAGGGGAGGCGATCGGGTCTGATGAGACTACATCGTGGCTCAACGGTCTGTTGAATCGCGCTATGAGTGAGCAGATTGCGTCAGGGCTAACATCCCATGGATTAAAGGCAACAACCCTCTCCTGGATGACGAAGGCCGGGTATCCCGAAAAGTCTTGCCTCATTTTGGGACATCACGCGAGAGCGGGAAAGAAAACTCTTTACACATACGGCAGAGACGTGCAAGCCAAACCATTACGTGAACTACAAGATTGCATTCGTCTCATCAAGCGTAATATGTTTGCTCCGGACTCGACTCGAAGTGGTATGTTCAAATCAGGCGAGAGCAGACATGAATCAAAGGCTGAGGTTACAGATCCTCTCATTCTCGCTGCTGAACAGTTCCGGTTTGGCGATCCTGATGAAATCATTGACACTGGAGGCGATGTTGGAAGCGAACACGAACCCTTGCTCGAGGAAGGAATGCCGGCTGACAATTGTGATGTTGAGCCTGAGCAGGATGCTGAGGATTCCGACTCGAGTACCTCTAGTTCTTCAGGTTCCTCTGATGACCATGCCGAAGCTTATGAGAGTTTCGCCAGTGATGCTGCCCTTGATTGTGCTGTGCCTCACCTAAACAAAGAGGTGGACTTGGATGTTTTCCAGAACCCCAAAACTCTTTCCCTCCATACCCGGGCGAAGGGTTCCGATGGCCCACTTATGTGTGGCCGCAAAGCTGAGGGAATGAAGATTTTTACAAGTAGGGTATACAGCAAGTTTTGGATGTGTAAGCAGTGTGAGCAGGCTCGACCGCTCAGGGACACGAAAGCTGTCGTTGCATACCTGAGCAAAGTTGCCAATCCCAAGAGTGCAGGACCTAGTGGTCTTCATTGAGGAGGGCGAGGGCTATGGGCCAGCACAGCGCTTTGCGCGTGCACTCGCAGTTTTGGAGAACATGTGATGGGAAAACTGCGCGAGGGCTCCGGGCCTGCATCGCACTGTGTGCCTGCGCTCGCGAACTTGTGCAAATCGGATTTGCGACGGTTGGGCGAGGGCTTCGGGCCTGCGCAGCACATTGTGCTTGCGCTCGCAGTTTACTATCGTCTACTTTGTGATGGGCTGGGCGAGGGCTTCGGGCCTGCACTGCACTTTGTGCCTGCACTCGCGAACTTGTGCAAACCGAGGTGGTGGCTAAGAGTCTGCTTACCGTCGTGTGGTGGCTACGGGCCTGCACGTCGTCCTGAGGACGAGTGCAACCACATGACAGGAATCCTTGATTAGCGTGAGTACCGAATTGAGCCCAAAAGGTGTGTGGAGCGTGGTGATGACACGTTGGTCACCCATGTGTGATTACGACTTGTGGGCAGCAGCGAGCTGAATGAATAGAGCCGTCTTATGCGCAAAAGACCAGCAGTAGTGTGTCGGCATGGCGGTTCCACTGACAGAGTCCAAGGCCGTGTTCTTGGAAAGATGTGAGACGGCCGGATTGCCAACGCCGATTCGGGACATCTTGGTTGGCAAGAATCTCAGTACCTTGGCAGGTCTCGCATTCGCAGCGGGGCAGCCGGGGGAAACACCGAGTGATGCAGCACTCACCGGCTTGGCGAGGGCAGGGACTGAGGAAGTTCCAATAGCGACCCTCGCATCCTTGAGGCGGCTAGTGTTTGAAGCGCAGCTCCTCATGACGGCACAGGTGAAGATGCTGATCGAGCACCGGGCCGATGACCAAAAGGCGGAATTAGCACCCGCAGAAAGATCGGAGCGAATCCAGAAGCAGAGCGAGCGCCTGGCCGGTGTTGCACTCCGCAACGAGTCAGAGTGCTCCTATGGGTCATATGATTTGGTCATGAAGATGGTCCAGCTAGGTTTCCGTCTCGGCAGGCCGAACTTCGTCTGGAGAAACCTCGAAAGGAGCTTGATGTGGTCAACTCAAAAATCACTTTGAAGGACCAGGCAGTCGATCTTCAATGCCAGCTTCACACGCCCCTGTGCCTACATCATGCTCTTCATCGACGGGCACTTGCAATGGATCTCGTTGGGGTAGCCAGCTACAGTGTGAGCATGGAATTTCACGAGTACTTGATGTCACACCTTACCATGGAGCCACCGCCTGGCTATCATCAAGTCACACTGCATCAGGTTCTAGCAGCTGACCGAGCCGCTTGGTTGCGACTCGCGGAGAAACTTCCTAAAGGGCTTCGTGCTGGTCCTGATGGGAAACTCCCGCTGGACGTCGAGCTCCCGAAATTGCAGGGCGACCCGAAAGTGGCTTTTCATCTCTTACCTCTGGGACCTTCTGCTTCATCATCCGGGAAGCGTCCGATGGATGGCGACCAGGGCCAGAGCAACGATTGGAAGATCCCAAGGACTGGAGGCAGGGGTAAAGGGAAGGGCAAAACCCCGGGCAAAACTAAAGCCATTCCTAAGTCTATGCCTGTGTCCCTCAAAGATAAGTGGTCGCGAACCAAACGCGGTGTTCCGATATGCTGGGCCTTCAACACGGAAGAGGGCTGTAGCGCAGCTCCAGCTGGAGGCAGATGCCCGAGGGGTGTCCACCTTTGCGCTGAACCCCACTGTCAAAAACCCCACTCGATCATCAATCATGCGAAGGTTGCCAGTGGGTGAACTTTTCAGAACGCAGGTTGTGACTTGATTGAATCACTGGAGGTTTTCCTTAACCGGGCTAGGGCTCGGGTAACTGGTGTTTCGGTCGAGTCACTCTTTGGAGTTGAAGTTTTTGCAGGGTCTGGTCGCTTGACTTGCGAGCTCCGCAGGCTGGGGCTTAATGATAGTATTGGTGTTGACAAGAATGTCGGCCGATGCTTGATCGCACCGGTGTTGCGTCTCAACCTTTGTGACGAGCAGGCGCGTGAGCTTGTCGTGCAAATGCTAGAAAATCCCAGTTGTGCCTACGTTCATGTTTCTCCCCCAGCCTTGAACCAGAAACATCGCAGTTTGAAGCACCGTGATGGTGCCGATGCTTCATGCTATTCAGCCTCGTGTAGCTTGTTGTACGAGTTCTGCGGGAAGCTCTTTAGCGTGTGCTGGTCCAAAGGCATTCTCTTTTCTTGCGAAAACCCTGGACAGTCAGAGCTGTGGCGAACGCCACAGTGGTGCAAGCATACGTTGTGTTTAAATTCCATTGATACTGTTTTTCACATGTGCATGTGGGGATCTCTCAGCCCTCGTTTCACACGCATTGTTCATTCTGTGCCTTCGCTAACGCAGCTGGGTGTTCGTTGTTGCGGTGTAAGTTCCAGCCACACGCATGAGTCGCGGAACGTGCTCCATGACTCCACATTCCCCCTAGATCTCAGTCGTGCGTGGGCAAATGCAATTGTGGAGCAACTTGTTGCTTTGGGCGCCCTGCCGCGTGCGCGCTCCTTGGATGAGTCTCGAGTTCCCCTACACCGTGAAGCCCAGGTGGCAGCAGCTTCACAGCCAACACGCAAGAAGGTGCCTCCTCTTGTTAGTGAATTTCGCTGCGTGGCGACAATTGACACGCCCAAGCCTTTTCTTGACACAGCTTCCAAGAAACTTGAGGGGCCAATTCCCATCCCTGCGGGTGCCAAGTGTGATACTACGTTGACCGTGCTACCGGCAGGTTCTCGCGTCATTCGCAGGCAGTTGCTGGGGGTGAGTTCGCCTGCTTTGAAGCTCGATGTAGGGCCGGAAACTAGCAATCCCACTAGCAGCCGTGTAGCTTCTTTTCCTGAAGTAAGCAAGCCCGGGCCTGATCGAGTGCAAGTGTGTTCTGAAGCCACTCATCCCGCGGAGGTTTTTGCTGCATCGTGCCTAAAGCTGGGGTATATCGACCCGGGAAAAATTTCCGAGTTCACTCAACTTCTTGAGTCGGAGCTTCCGGCCAGGGGGGATGGAGGTCAGCATGAATTTTCCTTCACGGTGGGATCCTTTGTTCATGGCGGTATTTATGGGCTTAGAACTTCTTCGGTTAACTTTCCGCTGACAACTCAGGTCCTTGCAAGGTTCATGCGCCAGCAGTGCCCAGACGCTGTTTTCACGAGCCTGGCTTTGATGAGGGATGTGCAAACAACATTACACATCGACACGAACAATTCATTACCCTACCTGAACACTGTGGCGAAGGTCACCAATTTCGAGGAAGGGGGTTTGTGGGTTCACAACGATCACGGCGACATGCCTTGCCCTGATGCAAATTTTGGGCAGCTGATGGGAACGAAGGTCGACTTCGAAAACGGAGTTATCAGGTTCGATTCGCATCTTAAGCATTGCACACTCCCGTGGGTCAAGGGGCCCCGTGTGGTTCTAATAGGGTTTGTCGTGAAGGGTCCCGAGTTGATGCCATCGGACTTAGTGAGTAACCTTGCTGCTTGTGAGTTCAACATGCCGAATGAACCCCTTGTGCAGCCTCTCCCCAACGAGGAACACTCCTCACCGGCAGGGCCCGAGGAGTCCCATTGGCATAGGGTTGTAGTAGGCATCCCATGGTTACCCGAAGAGTTCATCGGTAAAGCCCTGGAGGCTACGCACCCGAGGCACTTGATGACAGGCATCCCATCCGAACTAAAGTCCACAATCGATCAGCTTGTAACCCTTAGCCCATTTGAGGTTGGAGCCGAGAGGACAGCCCAGCTTAGGAAGTGGGTTGCGAGGGTACAGGAGGTTGAGCCGATGGAAAAGTTGATCAAGCAGCGGATGAGCGAATCTTGTGCAAAAGTTCTTCAGAGTAAACGCTTAGTGGTCTTCAAAGAGATGCTTGAAGCCAGTGGTCACAAGGATGATTCGATAGTCGGCGACATTGCCGAAGGTTTCAAGCTTAGCGGTCCCATACCGCCATCTGGGGTTTACAGGTCAAAAAGAACTTCGGCGACCCTTACCACGGCAGCGCTGAGAAGATCAGCACAGGTGCTTCGGAAAGGAATCATACACTCAACTAAGGGATCAGGCGACTTCGAGCTTGATTGTGCAACGTTCGAAGCTACTCGTGATCAGCTTCATCCAGGGTGGCTTTCGGACCTGTGCCAGAGAAGGACCTCCCTTCTGAGGCAGTGGTTACCCGTAGATTCGGCATACGCCAAGGAGGAAAGTGCAGACCCATTGACAATTACTTGGAATCAGGTGTCAACGCGACAACTAGCGCTGCAGACACCATCACTGTCCACTCGGCCGATGTGCTTGCTGCCGCCTTGTCATACCGCATCCACAAGCTCCGCTCAAAGCGACTGTCAGCAAGCTTGTACTCCAGGTCGTGGGATCTTGCCAAAGCATACAAGAATCTTGCGCTCCACCCTGAATCAGTTCCTGATGCTTTCCTGGCCGTATGGAACCCTGTAGAATTCCCCGTGTCCTAACCATGGAGGGTCGAGTTCCACTCATGAGTACAGTTTTCTCAGCCGTGAGGGCTTATGACGGAGCTGAGCTCCAAACCACTGATCACGTGTCTTAGGACATGGATTAGTCAATCCTAAGAGTAGAGAGATGTTCGACAGACTACTCATTGAAGCAGCTTGGTTTCTGAGTGAAAATTCGATTGCAGACTGCTGTAAGCCCATGTCGTTTGCCCCGACTCCTGACTTTGGACGTCATTGAGAAGATTAACATGGCATCAGGTTCTGCAGGGGAAAACCCCAACGAGCAGCCAATATTTGGTGAGCGACAGGTTATGAGTCGCCCAAATGCTACCGCGACAAGCTCTGCTGGAACCGAGGGTGAGCCTCGGGCTATGATGAACGGTGTTCCTACGCTAGGACCACAGCAATCCCTGAATATGGATGGCGAAACCGTGACGGCGAACCTATCCAGTGATCTAGATGGGACAGGAACAGGAGATGTGGCGGTTCCGCAAGCAGAGGTCACGACCCAGGTGGGGTCAACGACTGCTAGCTCAACTGCCAGGGGTTTCTTGCTTGGGCCAGAGGGAAATGGTGATGGGTCAACAGCAGATCCACCGCCGCCACCCCTACAGACTCCGAAGAGGCAAGGACCATCGTTCCTGGGCGGTGTGGCCAAGGCAGTACAGGCTATTCCGCATGCTGTGGAAGGACTGGTGAAGAGACATGGTGCTTCTAATCCAGCTACTGCTAACAGAGCACAAAGTGAAGCGGAGGGATACATCTCCGCACAGTCCGGAAGTCCGGACAGGATACAGCCTCCTCCTCAAAGGGGGTCAGGCCCAGCGACTCCATTGCTCGACGAGGACACCTTGAGGAGACTAAACGGGATGCAAACAGCAGCGCCGTATTTGTATCCTCCGGAACCTCCCTCGTCAGGTATGAAGCCGCCGTCGACTACGTCGAGTGATATTCAGATGGAGGTAAGACGACAGCTGCAGGAGTTTATGGCTATGAGGGATGAGGAGTGTAAGGCTCTCCGAACACAGCTGGAACTGCTAGCTTCTGAGAACCAGGCACTACAGAGGGATCGAGCTGAATTAAGTGCACAAGTGTATGGTAGAGAGCTTGGATTCAGGGCTGAGAATCAACGGTTCTTCCCGAGTCTGGGTTGGTTCGGTAGGGGTTTTGGGAGTCTCATGAGCGGTTCTTCCTCGCCCAAACCACCGGCACCACCGAGGGCCCTGGATTTACGCCCCAATCAGCCGGGACCATCCACCCAAACACAGGCCCCTGGTCTTATGGCCCATACCGAGGTACATGTGCCCAACTCTGCTCACCTATCCTCCCTGAGTGCTTCTGGTCTTGGAGCATCCCAGGATGTGCCACCTCCTCCCCAGCACACCTCATCGTATGAAAGACTTCCCACCGAGTTCCAATCTGCAGCTCCCAGAGTTCTTGACTTCGAGGCAGCAGCCGCACCTCCGACCTCTGCAGGAGAGTCGGTTCCGCGCTTTGCCGGCACCCCTGATGCGGCTGACCCGATGAGCGTGGTCCTCACAGGTATGGCTCAGTTGCAAGGGGTTGTTGCGGATTTAGCCGGAACCCCTAAGAGTCAGGATAAGCGCGAAGTCATTAAGCCTGGGATAACGTCACTCCCTGAACTCCCTCCCTCGGGACCAGAAGCATGCTTGGCATTTTCTGACTGGCTACATAGTGTTAAGCCTGCCCTGGCCGACGTATCTGACACTAGCGAAGAGCTGTGGGATTTGATCATGCAAGAGTCCAAGGACTGGTACTCTAAGCACCTTAAGCTGGATGCGATAAGCAGGCTTACTGACAAGCCCATAGCATCCCCCGCTATCATGCAGCCAAAGTGGTCCAGAGTTTCGCGTAGGATTGAGGGGATGTTGCTGACAGCAGCCCCACCTTCCGTCAGGGACGAACTTAGCTCAGCGCGAGTGAGTGGGCTACTTCCTGTGATGTGCAGACTATACACGATATATGCGCCGGGTGGACTTTCGGAACGTGAAATAGGACTTCGGCAAATTCAGGAACCGAGTCAGGGCACGACTATCCGAGAGACGGTGGATATTCTCCGCAGGTGGCGTCGCTGGTGCTCCCGTATGGTCGAGCTGGGTGGTACCTTGCCCGACTCGTCGCTTCAACTCAAGGCACTGGAGCGCATAACCAAAGTCACCTTGCAATCCCACCCGGATGTAGCGTTTAGAATAAATTTGACAAGGGCGGCGTTGCAAATAGACACCACCCCGGATGATACGAAAATAGGCCAGTTGCATGCACAACTCTTAGCGGAGTTAGAGACCCTGGGACATAGGACCTCTAAGGAGGACAGGGCCAAGGACAGTGCTACAACCCCGAATCCTAAGATTAAAGGGGTGGAGCCTACCGACAACTCCCCTAAGAATGGCAAGGCCAAGAACCCACCTAAGTCTCCCCCGAACCCTAAGAATGCAGGAGGAGCTGAGGCGGGAGTGTCGTCTGGAACTCCGTGCACTTTCTATACCGGGCCGAATGGGTGTAAGAAGGGTGCCGATTGTAAGTTCGTACATAACTGGCTGTCTATACCCCAATCTGAAAGGGCGCAGCGCTGCCGCACTTGTGGTGGAAAGGGGCATCGGTCCCAGGACTGCAAGGCAGGCATAAAGGCTGAAGAAAAGGCAAAGGTCAAGGCTCCGCCACTAGGTCCGAAGGGACCACCACCGCCACCGAAGGCATCTGATAACAGTACGCAGCAGGCCACGGTTGCAGGTTCAGGCAAGGAGATGACTCAGCAGCAGATTAAGACGATGTTGGCAGACGCAGCTGTCATCTTGCAACAGGCAGCTCCTGTGTCGACGAATGCACAGTCGCCTCCGCATCCCGCTGTTCCGATCAGCCCCTCGCCACAGCCGAATGCATCTGTTCCTGCGAATCCTCCGGTGACTCCCGGAACGCCAGTCTCATTGGCAGCAATCAGTGCCCAGATAGATACACTGAGAGCCCTTGCCAGGGAACATGAGATTCGAATGGTGTCTGCCAATGAGGAGGTGAACAAGGCTGTAAGTACTGGAGGTGCATCCGTGAAAGCGCTTCTCGACAGCGGCGCAACGCATGCTGTTATCCCTTACCAAGGGGGAATGAGGGATCTGGAGCGTGTGTCTGTCACGCTTGCCGGAGACCAACGTGAAGAATGGTTTAAGACGAATGGGGGCACTCTAGTAGTACCCCCTACGACCCAGGAAACACCTTCCCCGCAGCTTCAGACCATAGTTCCCCTAGGAGCCCTTGTCGAGACTCTAGGCTGCACTGTGAGCTGGAGCAAACGCAAAGGGTTAAGGGTGGTTCACCCCACAATGGGGCACTTGAAGACAGGAGTGTCGCCTAATACGTGCCCATTCGTGCAAGAAGATCAAGCGCTAAGGTTGATAGGAGAACTTGAGACGCAGAGGGTCAAGGATTTCGAGGAAAGCGTGCAAGCTATGGAGGCAGAGCTCCATCAGCTTTCTTCTCCCCAAGATCCCACGGATGCCCTGCGTAAGTATCTTGAAACAGGAACCAGGAGCCAGCTGATGAGCGCGGTGTTCTCCCAACCGTACCTACGCCAGGTGCCTGAGGCTCTGAAGGTTAGGCTGTGTGAGGACATACCAGGCCTCACAGACCAAGCGGGATGGTCTTTGCTGAAGAGGCTTCCGCTTCCGAGAGCTAAGCGTAGGGCCCTGCATGGTTCTAAGAGTTGGGTGGTAAGCCTGTGTTCCGGACCTCCTAAGCCGCAAGATCCCATCAAAGAATGGTGTAATGAGCGCAATTTAGAGTATCTCCCAGTCGATCTCCTAGAGAAAGGGGGGAAGGGCTGGGACTTGACAGCTCCAAAGGGTGTTTGGTCGGTTTTGCTTTGGGCTGCCGCCACTGGGCGGATAGTTGGCTTGCTCGCATCGCCACCACATCGCACTTGGAATGCTATTGATAGTGCCGAGGGCAAGCGCACCAAGGATGACCCATGGGGTTCCTTTGATGCAGGCTCTGCTGGGTTTAAGGAGAGCTTAATGGCCATTCAGGATATGTTTCTGTGGTCGCTGACATCTGTGCAGCGCGGGCACCCAGTGCCATTCCTCAAGGAACTCCCCTCATCGGGACATGGTCTTTCCGGCAGGGAGCTCCCCACGATCACTCCCGAGTCCTTCTGGCAGACGGACTCCTGGACTGCCTTCCAGCAATGGTCAAGGATGAACAAGTTGGATTTTTGCCAAGGCTCTCTCGGCCATACGTGGCTGAATCCCACAACGGTGGGGACTAATCTTTCTCTTCTTCACCTGTCGGATCTTCCCAAGCAAGGGAGGCCCCTTCCACCGGGCACTGCGCGTGGTCCCAACAATGCAGGATGGTCAGTAGGGTTTAGGAAAGAAATAGTGGAAGCCCTAGAAGGAAAGGTAAAGGGTCCGTCCGTAGAAGAGCTCGATCGAGTGATCTCGAAGGGAATCGCCCTGGAGTCCAGTTCTTCTTCCGAGGATTCAGTGAGCTCAAGTGAAAGCACTGATTCCCCAATCGCTCCCTCTAGACCCTGCGGACAGCTAACTTTGATGGCAGAGCCTGATGACATCTGCGTTGGGGCCCTCACTGCGGCCCAAAAGGAAGAATGGAGAGCCCACATTCTGCGTGGACATATGCCTTATCGTAAGGACTGCCGGTTTTGCGTGGAGGGCTCAGGGCTAGGAATGCAGCACAGGCGCGTGAAAAACCCGCAGGCATTCAGCCTTTCAGTCGACCTCTTCGGCCCGATGTCGGGAGCAGAGAAGGGTAGGGATGAGCAATCAGTTTCTGCCAACCCACACTTAAGATACGGGCTAGTCGGGGTTTTCAGGTTTCCGAAGTCAACACTAGATAAGCGGGTTGAGCCACCTAAGCCAAGGGAGGCACCAGCACAGCCTGAACCCTCAGCAAGCCTACCGCTTCCCGAGGATGCAATGTGTGATGAGTACGAGCCATCGCTCCCAGGTGAGTTGGGAGAAGATCCGGCACTTGAGCCGGGATTAGACCTTGAAGAGGTGGAGGAATTAGGCATAACTGAAGACGTGCATAAGGTAGATGCAGTCGAATTAGTGCCAGAGAATGCCTCCAGCCCCTCGGGTTCTAATGAGGTGCCGTTGCAAGGAGACCAGGAGGAGGAGTGGTTAGGTGACGTAGAGTTGGAGGATCACCTAAGGGATCTTACCTCCGGGGTAGAATTGTTGTCCTTGAGATACATGATCGGACTCAAGTCTAAAACCGGACCCGATGTAACAGCCGGCCTCCAGAAAATGATACTCGCAATCACCAAGACCTTTCCCCTCAGGATTGTGCATTGTGACCCCGGCACTGAATTCGGGTCAGACAAGTTGTCGACTTGGCTCTCTCAACAGGGCATAAGAATGCAAACGACTGTACCCACCGATAAGCAAAGTAATGGACTCGCTGAGAGGACAGTCGGTTGGATGAAGGCTAGAGCACGCACTCTTCTTTCGTCCACTGGCCTCTCGCCGGAGTATTGGCCACTAGCAATGAGATGGGCCTCTGAGAGCTATAATAGGGGTGTGCTAGGACTCCCCCCTCTTCCAGCGTTTGGTCAGCCTGTGCTCCACAAGCTAAAGAAACCGTCAGAAGCGAGCAAGGAGCTGATGGTGAGGTGGATCAAGTCCACCTACGCCGCCCCTCATCTGACAATCTCAGAAGGCCATGTGTTGATCAACTCAGATGGTAATTTAGTGGCATCAAAGGGGTTCAGGACTAATTTGGTTGAGCCTACTGTAGATGAAGGCATTGAGCTGCCTGCTCTACACGCCGAAGATGATATCTCAGAACCTTCTGAGGAACCTTCGGAGCAACGGATCCCAGCCGCGAGTTCAGAGGTCCCAGAGGAGCCTCTACCGGCCCCCAGTAAAAGGTGCAGAGAAAAAACAGCAGTGAGATTCTTGGATACCGACCAAGATCTGGGGAACTTGGAACTTATGTCCAAGGCTGCGTTGCTAGATGAGGATGTAACCGATGCAACGTTTCACAGACTCATGCAAGAGTTAGAAAGGACAGAATCCTCTACGGGTGATAGGAGAGGAGAGTTCCAAGGCCGATACGTGTTAGGAGCTTTCTGCCATGGAGGCCAACGGGGAGTGACCGTCCTGGCACGCAAGCACCCTAGTTTTGTCAGGTTCTTGAATAAGTATATGAAGTCACGGCTACCTAAGGGAGGGTCTGAAGGGAGCTACCCCAGAGCCACCTTCCTGTTGATCCAGGGCACAAATGTTGACGTGCACAGGGATTATAGGAACGAATGGGGTACGCAGAACCTGATTCTCCAGGTTCCCCCTCAGTTGGAGTTGTGGGTAAATGAAGACCCACATAAGCCAGGCCAAGACTTCATTCCAAGGCCGGATTGGGAGTCCTCCCAGTCTCAGACTTTGCAAAGGGAGGTGATTTCATTTGATCCTCGCCGATATCATGCACTGAGAAGAGCACCTCATTGGGTGCTAGTTGGTTACTCGCCTCTGGGGGTACATAAGTTGAGGCCTGAAGATAAAGAAGCCCTAGATGCATTGGGGTTTGAACTCCCAGTCTTAGCACCCGAGGAGATTGAAGTAAAGGCGCTAAGAGCATCCTCTAGTGCCGCAACCGCCAATTCCAGCACACCGGCTTCCTCGAGCCATCAGCCTCCACTTCGAGGGCCAACTGCCAATCGCTCATCGAGCAGCTATGAACCGGCACATGCGTGCTACAGTCCAGAGAATGATTTGCAAGATGACTCCTACACGCCTTTTATAGGATGGGATCCCAACGAAGGTGATGGAGCAATTGAAGCCCCGAGGAACCTTGAGGAAGCAGATCTAAGGGAATTTCTGCAAGAAAGGGAGGTTAGTAATCGTCAAGCTCAGCTGGAGTTTATGGGAGTCGAATCACCCGCCGACCTCTACTACTTGTATGTTGAAGATCTGGTAGAAATGGGAATTTCCTTGGAGGATTCATATAGGATCATGAGAGGTGTCCACCCAGAGGGCACGGTGCGCCCAGACAACCCGAACATGATCTCGTTGACCACAGGAGAGGTTTGTCTGTTTGGGAGAGACCACCGCCAGCTCCCTAGGGTGATACAAAATCGGACCCTAACGTACCAAGCTCCAGGTCCCCCTGTACAAGGGTTAGGGATTAATTTAAGTGCACTGAATCAAAGACCTGATCCCTACTTGGAGGATTGGCAGGAATTGAATGGCCATCAACCACAGGTCATGCCGATGCCTGCCCAACAGCATCCTGCCGTTGATCTTTCGGAGCCTGCGGGAAGTTCCACTGAGATCCCGTTGATCTCCACCGTGCAGATGGACCCAGGTCACCAGCAGGGTGATGATGTGGAACATCTCTCTGAGCGGGTTTACCAGGTAGGAGTGCAGTCCCTAAGTGAACAAGCTGGGGATGCCGACATCCATTCAATGCACGCAATGAGAATGCAAGCCATTTGGGATGCCGAAACCGAGGAGGAGTTCAACTCCTTGGTGTATCCTCCACTAACACCAATTACCCATGATGAAGCTCCAGTGCTTGGAGAAGCCTCTACTCCAAGGCAGAGCACTGCCCAAAGCGCGGGACAGCCGTGTTGTAGAATGGTTATTGCCAATGAGGAGAGGCCATCCTCCAGCAATCGCAGGATGCCAGCGAGGTCTCCGAGACGTTCCGCCCCGGATCGTGAGGAAATAGATCGTACTGCAGCGGTCCCGCAGATAGGTCTTCCCCTCCCCGCTATAGTCTCGTTGGACACCTCTAAGGTTATCCCGCAGGTAGTGGAAACTTCAAATCCTCGAGTGGAAAAGGTAGAGGAGACTTCCTATACTCCTCATATTGAAGAACTACTAAGCAATCTCACAGGTCCGCTCGAGGTGGTGCATCAAGTCGCCCCTGCCGATGTGAAGGCTTTCCCAGATAGGTGGAAGGCTGCAGCTGAGGAAGAAGTTAATTCTATGGTAGGGATGAACGCTATCGTAAGGCACAGCGGAAGAGCTGCCCAAGACCTCCTTAAGCGCCCCAACGTGGAGGTCCTCCCGGCGAAGGGAGTCTTCACTGTGAAACCAGGAAGGCCGTTTAGGCGCAAAGTGCGTATTGTGTCATGTGGAAACTACGCGAAGGGTGTTTCTGAAGACATCCTCTACGCAACGGGAGCAGCTGCGGAAACCCTTAGGGTAATACTTGTGTATGCTGGAAAGCGGCGCCGCAGATGTTGGTCCACTGACATAAAGTGCGCGTTCCTTCTTGCCCCGATTCCAGGCTCTGTGATGAAGGTTTATGTATTAAAACCACCAGCAATACTTGTGGCACTCGGCATATGCGACCCGTCTGAATACTGGCAGGTGTGCCGGGCCGTCTACGGCTTCAAAGAGTCGCCAAAGTGGTGGTCTCAATACAGAGATGGAGTCCTTGCGGCCGCAGTGATTCAGACTCCCCAAGGAGATGCAACTCTTAAGAGAACAGCGTGTGATGAAAATCTGTGGGAAGTCCTCCTGCAAGATGGCACCTGCCTGGGTCACATGCTGGTGTATGTGGATGATCTTTTGTTCTTGTGTGATGCTCACGTAGCAGAGTCAATCCACTCTTGGATTCGGAGCCAATGGAGTTGTTCAGACTTGGAACGTCCGACCTCAAGCAAGGCTTTGAGGTTCTTGGGAGTAGATATCTATGAGACCCACAATGAGTGCGGGTTCTGTGGGTATTCTCTGTCCCAAGAATCTTACATTGATGAATTAGCTCGCAGCCATAATCTGAAGCCTACACAGCGTGCCAACACCCCTATCCCTAAGGAGTGGGTTAAGAATGCACCCGATCCTGAGTCCGGGTTCTCAGAAGTCGTCCTACGAGAAGCACAAAGAATCACTGGAGAACTTCTGTGGGTTTCCCAGCGCACGAGAGTAGACATATGTTATGCAGTAGGGTTGATGTCAAGCTGGACTGTGAAGTCTCCTGGCTTTGTTGTTAAACTAGGCCAAAGGGTGCTAGCATACCTGGCAGCAACCAAAGTCTACCGCCTGTCACTGACGCCAGATGACACTGACACCCTGTCAATATACACCGATGCCTCGTTTGCTCCATTCAGCGAGCGATCGATATCAGGGATAGCAGTTCTTGTGAATGGCCGGTGTGTTTACTGGAAGTCAAAGAGGCAGACTCTTGTCAGCTTGAGCACTGCAGAGTGTGAGTTGATTGCTGCTTGTGAAGGAGTGGTCCTCGGACAATCGATCGAGGCGCTCATCCACGAACTATGGAGATCTAAGGTAGCTAAGGTCCTCAAGGTTGATAACGTTGCAGCAATCACCCTTGCCGAAGGGGGAGGGTCGCAGCGGACCAGGCATTTGAGAGTAAGAGCATGCTTCTTAAAGGAAATGCTTGAGAAAAATTCCTTGAAGGTTGAGCATTGCCCAGGCGAAATACAACTGGCAGACACCCTTACCAAGGCGCTCCCCGCCCCTAGGGTATTAGACCTCAACCAGTTCTTGGGTATAGGACCTCCTCCGGCAGTTGATCCCATAATTCAGGCAGTCATCCCTACATCCAGTGCATTTCAGAATCTTGATCCCACAGAGGGACAGAGTATAATGTTGGTTCTGGCAATAATGATGCTGCAGGTGACACCGGTTGCCTCCCAGGAGGAGGAAGAAGGGGAAAATCTAAGCCTGGACTTGTATGTTTTGGCAGTGATGATGGCCTTTTCAGTACTCTTTGTTTGGGAGCTTGGGAAGCATTGCATCAGAGAGTGTCAGAGGAGTAGGGATTCAGATCCGGTTGTAGCGGTGGTTAACCATGATGAGGCGATGGCTAGACGTGAGAAAAGGTCTGAAGCTGTTCGAAAGGCCGTAGAAAAGGAACTAGAGAATGAACTGCGCCAAAGGAAGGGCGAGCGTCAGGAGGAGCCACCACCTCCACCGCCTTCTCCACCTTCGGCCCAGGTATCATCGCAGATCCACCTACACCTCTCTTCTTCCAGCTCAGAGCCTCCACCTACGAGCCCATCGCCAATTCAATTTCAGCCCAGTGATCGACCGTGGATTTGCGGAAGTCAGCCAAGTGGATTTAGCGCTGGAATTCCGCCACCACCTCCTCTTCCTACCGCTCCGGTTAAAGTAAGTGGGGTAAAGGGAAGAGTTGATTCTCGGAAAACATGTGAAGCTGCGGTACAGACTGATGGTCCACAGGGATTGTCAGATAGCCAGCTTTGCGAGTTAGAGACGATTACCAGTAGCTCCAGGACGCCTGGGGCCCTTCATATCTTTCCTGACTGTCACGTCCTCCGTAGTATGACTAGCACTAACCGGAGAATGTTCTGTAGGTATTGCCTTCAGACCCTGAGGGAACGGGGACGTCGATAGTGGACTTCCGTTTCTAAGAAACGATGCGTCCAAGGAGGAGTGTAGAATTCCCCGTGTCCTAACCATGGAGGGTCGAGTTCCACTCATGAGTACAGTTTTCTCAGCCGTGAGGGCTTATGACGGAGCTGAGCTCCAAACCACTGATCACGTGTCTTAGGACATGGATTAGTCAATCCTAAGAGTAGAGAGATGTTCGACAGACTACTCATTGAAGCAGCTTGGTTTCTGAGTGAAAATTCGATTGCAGACTGCTGTAAGCCCATGTCGTTTGCCCCGACTCCTGACTTTGGACGTCATTGAGAAGATTAACATGGCATCAGGTTCTGCAGGGGAAAACCCCAACGAGCAGCCAATATTTGGTGAGCGACAAACCCACATACACATAAGACTGAGATCTATGGCCAACTGGTGTTGCCATTTGGTGCCAGATCCAGCGTACATTCATTTTGCAGAACTTCGCTGGGGATTTGGAACATAGGGGTGGTGTTGTTCCTCCTGCATTGGGGGGTATACTTCGACGACTTCTTGGGATCCGAAACACCCCGCCTGTCCAAGCTGTTCGAACTCTGCGCAGACGGGTTGTTCCTGATATTGGGCTGGGCTACATCCTCTGACAAAGCTTCGGTTTTTGATTCCATTTCGATTGTACTTGGCCTGAAGATCAATCTCTCCGAATCTGGAATCGGCTTCGTCTACTTTGAGAATACCGACAAGAGGCGAGATGAGCTGGTGTCCACCCTCGGCGATGTCCTTTCTGCGGGGTTCCTTAGCCGCAAGGATGGTGAGCGACTACGTGGCAGGCTACAGTTCGCAGAGCAGCAGATTTCTGGCAAAAAGGCTGGATTGGCCTTTAAGGAGCTTTCGAGGCATGTGACGAAAGGGGGCGGCAAGTTGGTACCCGAAACCATGGCTGCCTTGACCACCCTTAAAAACCACATTGCTTGTGCTCCAGCTCGCTGCATTGCGGATCGATCGTGCTTTACCTGGCACCTCTATGTCGACGCTTCATACGATGATTCGCGGGCTGGTATTGGTGGCATCTTGATCTCAGAGTCGGGAGCCTACATTGGCCACTTCAGTGAATTCCTCGACGATGCAGCTTTGACATCCTTGAATACAACTGGGAGCGAGAATCCGATTTTCGAGTTGGAGTGTTTCGCTATCTGGTGTGGCATCTCCGCTTGGGCACGCTTGCTTCGCCACTGCCATCTTATTGTATTCACTGACAACGAGGGAGCTTTGCACTCGATGATCAATGGTCGCAGCGAGAATGATTCTGGTGGCCGTATCGTTTCTGCTACGCATAACCTACTTGACGAAGGTTGCATTGCTCCGTGGTTTGAACGTGTCAACACAGCTTCCAACATAGCTGATTTTCCTTCGCGGGGAGTCTCTAAAGAAGAGTGGGGAGCGAGAACTCCCATTGATTATGTGCGCCTCGCACGGGTGGCTGAAGCAGGGGGTGACGTGCCACCGTTCGAGGCTTTCAGCTCGGCGGTGTAATGTGTGTGTGGTGTGAGGTCCCACACGTGGGCTCAGTGGGGCACTGCCGCATTTGCGGCGTGCCAACTTAGTGAATTCATCACCCCTTGACTTCGAGTATCGTCGTAAAAGATTGCCCGAGTGCGAGTGTTTGCACCATATTCATATGCAAAGATATTTGATTGACTTCCCGGCGATTCAATATATACTTTTACGATTTCACATATTGATGTGAATATCTCCGTTTGCGATTTGATTGACATGCGCGGTTTTTGGGAACAAGAATAAGACAACTTTCAATCGTGATTGATTAGTCTTTATTCTTGCCCAAAAACCTTTTGAAAATTTTGGGTGCGAAAATTTTCTGTCTGCATGTCAATCGTTGATTCGCCACACACTTTGTTTCCACGAAGCCTCTCTGGCTGAGGTGGGAGGTGGGAAACCCTAGCAACTTTCAAGGCCATATGGCTTGGTTTTGTTTTGCCCACCCGCCCTCCCTTGGGGTGACGTGCCACCGTTCGAGGCTTTCAGCTCGGCGGTGTAATGTGTGTGTGGTGTGAGGTCCCACACGTGGGCTCAGTGGGGCACTGCCGCATTTGCGGCGTGCCAACTTAGTGAATTCATCACCCCTCGACTTCGAGTATCGTCGTAAAAGATTGCCCGAGTGCGAGTGTTTGCACCATATTCATATGCAAAGATATTTGATTGACTTCCCGGCGATTCAATATATACTTTTACGATTTCACATATTGATGTGAATATCTCCGTTTGCGATTTGATTGACATGCGCGGTTTTTGGGAACAAGAATAAGAGGCTCTTAAGCAGGCAATGGACCCTACGGTACGGGAGATCATGGGCAACAAGAAGCTGCTCTTGTTCAAACAGATGCTGAAGGATGCAGGTGTTCCTGATGAGCGCCTCTTCGAGGATATGGTTCAGGGATTTCGGTTGACTGGTCCCCTTGAGCCTTCGGGTTTGTTTCCCCCTAAGTATAAGCCTGCCGTCATCTCAGTGGATGAATTGCGGCGCACTTCGCAGTGGTCCAAACACCTTGTCGAGGCTGCGTGTCGGAAGGCTTCACAGGATCCTGAGATTGCGAGGGCTGTTTGGGAAGAATCGTTGGGGCAAGTCGAGAAGGGATGGTTGTCGGGACCATTCACATGGGATCAAATGGATCAAAAGTATGGGGGCACTTGGGTGGCGTCCAAGCGCTTCGGGGTGTCCCAGGGCGACAAGGTGCGTGCTGTCGATGATCTCTCGCAGTTTCAGGTGAATGCTTCGGTTACTGAGACCGAGAAGATTCAACTTGAAGGCCTTGATGACATTGTTGCCCTTGCGAGATTCCACTTGGGTGCCACTGTGTCGGGCACCAAGGTTTTCAGGCTCCCCTTGTCAGGCGGCGGCGTCTATCAGGGCCGATTGCATCCTGACTTCAGGGAAGGTCGGGCACGGCGCTTGAAAGGCAGGGCTCTTGACTTGCGGAGTGCATACAAACAGCTGGCTCGGCACCCCGCCGACGATTGGGCTTCGGTGCTAGGAGTCTTAGATCCAGACACCAACACTGTAGCCTATTTTGAGAGCCACGCTCTCCCGTTCGGCGCATCGAGCGCGGTGACAGGCTTCAACCGGGCTGCGCGTGCATTGCGCATTATCATGTCCAGACTTTTGTTCCTTGTGAATACGTCATTCTTTGACGATTTTTGCTGACTGATTCTGCGGATCAGGCGGCGCTTGCACTGCTTGATCTCCTTGGCTGGGAGGTGTCCGATGGCGAGAAGTTGAAACCTTTCGCTTCAGAGTTCACCATGCTTGGTGCAGTGCTATCCTTCAAAGATGCGGGTAGGGGTCTGATTAGGGTTAGGAATAAGGCCGGTCGCTTGGAGGAAATTTCTTCCATGGTAGATCGCTTTGCTGCTGACCCCGCATGTGGGGCGCGTTCCCTCCCGTCGTTGAAGGGCAAGCTCTTGTTTGCATCTTCGCATGTGTTCGGTCGCTGTGCTCAGGTTGCGACTCAGTTGATTCACCATGCCGAGCGACAACCTGGTCCTGACGTGCATGGTTTCGTGTTGCAATCCCTCAGGAGGGCGCTTGAAACACTTAGGGCAGCTGATCGTCAGGTGAACCTGTGGTCTGAGCAGCCGCCAGTTGTCATCTTTACGGATGGTGCATGTGAGGAGAAAGGCAATCAGGTGACACATGGGGCGGTCATCGTTGACCCGGCTTCGCAGACTCGAGAGGTGTTTGGGGGTCACATCCCCGAGGATCTTGTGACAAAGTGGCGGAGCTCAGGCCGGACTCAGCTCATCTTCTTTGCAGAGCTTTATCCTGTCTTGATTGCGAGACGGACTTGGGCTAAAGTGCTGCGTAACAGAAGGGTACTGATCTTCGTGGACAACGAGGCAGCGAAGGCGGCCTTGATCAGAAATTATTCTCCTTTGTTGGATGCCGCTCATATGCTTTCTGACATTGCCGAGCTTGATGTCGAGCTCCGTTGTTTTCCATGGTATTGCAGGGTGTCGTCCAAGAGCAAATTTTCCGACGCTGCCTCCAGACTGAACTTTGGGGAGTATGAGGAATGCTTCCGAAGGATTCAGCCCACTCTGGCAGCCTTTTGATCAGACATGCGCGGTGTGTTTCGGATGGGGGGTATGTGGCACCGCTTATGATGAGCATTGGCCGTCATGAGCTCTGTGCTGGAACATCCTGTGATGTGCATGGGCCGTCACGGGAAATCCACTTTTACTTTACGGCATGTTCCGTTTCGAATGCGACTGGTGCCATCCCCCGTCGGAAAACAAATCGGCCGTGTGTGCGAGTGCTCTGCATGTTTCCCATATGTGGATTGAATATATTCATCAGTCATGTCTATATTTCTTTGTTGAAAGGAAATAGTTCACTTGTGAAGTTTTCCCTTTTGTCGAGATTACATTTGAAAGGATTGGCTTATAAGGATAAAGACAATCTCACGTTCGTGATATCCTCTTATCCTTTTGCCAACAGGTGATATGTTCACCGTCCTTTCTTTGTAATCGTTTGATCACGCCTTTGTGAAATTGCTCATGGTGCTCCCGGGCACAAATGTATTTGGGCATGCCGCATGAATTCTGTCCTTTATTTTTGAATGTAGTCGGATTCGCTTTTAAATGTGTCGACTACTTTTCAAAGCTTAGACACTTGTTGTCTGATGGAACAATGCTCCACTGAAGGTTTTGGCTCCGATGCGGAGGTCACATGTGGAAAATTTTTGACCCGCCCTCCCACCCTGGGGGGGTATGTGGCACCGCTTATGATGAGCATTGGCCGTCATGAGCTCTGTGCTGGAACATCCTGTGATGTGCATGGGCCGTCACGGGAAATCCACTTTTACTTTACGGCATGTTCCGTTTCGAATGCGACTGGTGCCATCCCCCGTCGGAAAACAAATCGGCCGTGTGTGCGAGTGCTCTGCATGTTTCCCATATGTGGATTGAATATATTCATCAGTCATGTCTATATTTCTTTGTTGAAAGGAAATAGTTCACTTGTGAAGTTTTCCCTTTTGTCGAGATTACATTTGAAAGGATTGGCTTATAAGGATAAGGACGCATACTTGACGGTGCCGCAGGCTGAGAAGGTCCGAGCATCCATGCCCCGTGATTACAGTGACCAGTTTGAGTATGATTTCGAAATGTGCATCCCGGGACAGCGGGACGGGGCTTTGCGCTGGAGAGAGCGTCTGATCAACTACTTGCGTACCAAGTTCGAAGTGAAAGTGTGCGAAGCCTGCCCTGCCTTGATCTCGATCGATGGGCAGAACTGCCTTCTTCATGTGGACGATTTGTTCATTGTGGGCAAGCGATCGTGGCTGCTCAAACACTTTGTGCCAGCACTTGAGAAGGAGTTTGAATGCTCATGGACGATCGCCTCTGAGGAAGGAGAGAGTGTCAGTTTCTTGAAACACACACATCGCGTTACCGAGAGTGGCGTGATTGTTCAAGCACAGAGTGATTTGATCCACAAGATGTGTGAGGTGCTTGGGTTGCATGAACGCAAGACTTCAGCTGTTCCATGTTCGAAGGACATCCTCAAGGTGTCTGGAAGTAAGCTGCTTGATGCTGAGGGCGGAAGTACTTTCAGAACCGCCATAGGCATAGCAATGTACTTGTCAAATGATAGGGTAGACTGTGCCTTCCCGATCCGCACCTTGGCGCAGCGGCTCACGGCACCTACCGAGGACGACTTGAAAGCAGCACGGAAGCTTGCAGCATACCTTCGCCACACCGCAGGTTTTGGAATCCACATTGTGCCCCGCGAGAAAGGCTACAGTTTTCTTGATCAAGGACCGTCGAGGGATCAGCATGAACATCTGCTGGAGGTGTGTTCGGACAGTGACTGGAGCGGCTCACAGGTGAGCCGACGATCGATGTCATCGGCCGTCCACTTCCTAGACGGTGCTACCGTCTTCAGCTCGTGCAGGGGACAGAAGGTTGTGTCCCTTTCCTCGTGTGAGGCGGAACATTACGCCTCTGTGACGGCTGCTTGCGACGGCCTTTACCTGAGCCAATGCTTGACCTTCATCCTTGGAGAGAAGCCGCGAATCACTATCAGATTGGATAGCCAAGCCGCCCGCCAACTTGCACATAGGAGTGGCCCTAGTTCGAAGACGCGTCACATTGACGCCAGATTATTCTGGGTACAAGAAAAGGTTCAGAACAAGGTGTTGTCGTACATGCCCGTCTCTGGCCACATCAATCCTTCTGATTTGGGAACAAAGGTGTTATCGGAACGACGATTTCGAGCGATGCTTTGTGCTCAGAATTTCGTTGACACTGCAAACTCAGACGTTGCAGTAGGCCTTGATGAGTGGAGTGATCTCTTGAGCGAGTCTGGGATTCATGTGCGAGTCCGAAGGCTGCATGCTCAGCTTCGGTCAGTGCGGAGCTCGCGGACAGTGCGAGCGCAGACGATGATGATTGGCTGTTTGTTGGCAGCCACCGGTGGCGGCCTCGACGAGCTGCCATGGTGATCATGTGGGCCTGTGTTGGCCTGCTCATGGTTTCCACTTTGGGATGTTACCTCTTGAGCCTTGGGTCAGTGCTATGGTTTGGAGATGAGCCCATAACGACTTTTGTTTCAACGATGAGTGTACATGCAATGCTTGAACAGAGCAGCGTGGAATGTTTCTGCGCATGCGATGCGGAAACACGTGACACAACGAGCACTACGAAACTTACAATTTTCTCATGCTGCATTTCTGCTTTGCTTATGTGGTTGCTTTGGCAATACATGGTGCAGGCGCGAAGGCTTGGAGAGCTTGAGCGCAGATGCAAAGCTCTTTTGGATGATCGCAGCAATGACCGCAATCAGTTGAAGGAGCTTCGTGATGAAGCCAAACGGCTGAATGCAGAGAATGCTTTAGCACAGCGAGCTTACTATGAGCTCGACCACAGCAGAGGTGGTGAAGTTCGTGTGGTTTCGAGAATTCCACAGGAGATATGTGTATCTTCGCATGGCCGGTGCTTCCATCAGCGCCAATGCCATACAATCCGGAACAGTACTTTTCGTGCATATTATCCTTGCCAGGAGTGCCGGGATAAGTTTGCCACCAACGTTTACTGAAGTGCCGAGGTTTGGAGCCTCGATGACTGCGTATTCGAGCTTGGTGTTTTCTTTCATGGATGTTGCAACGGCCTGGCGTGCCGAATGGTATTGCGGGTTGATAACACCCATATGCGAGCCTTTAGTGCTCATGGGAATGCGAGCCTTTTAGTGCTCAACGTGAGAAGCTTTTCATGCTTCATGAGTGCCACTAGTGTATAGAGAGTGCGCCTAGTTTGCGAGTTGCTACCGTGTGTGTGCGAACATACTTCAAGCTGTCTTCGAAGTTTGCGAAAGTTGTGGATGATTCATCATGCCAGGAGTGCAAGGTGAATCAGGCGGGGTGAACAACTTTGACACCCCATACATGTATGATGTTGGTAACAGTAACACACGTGTACAGTAGTAGCTTTTGACTCCAGTTTTCACTTGAAAGACTTGTCGCTCCGCGTTGCTCGAACAGGCTCAGAGTGAGGTTGAAAAGTGTGGGAACTTGTTCACAAAATGAAGACGGTCCGAGTGGTTGCTGCAATTTAATATGTTTTTGACAAATATTCAATGTCCCATATATCAATTGGGAAATACTGACTGGATTGCGAAGTGAAGCGAGTCACGACCTTTGTGATGCACCTATGTTGGATGTGCGTGCATGTTGTATGTGGTGGTGGAGTTAGGGGTTCAAGAGTAAGCCAACAAGACGGATAACCTCAACTTGTTGACGGTCCTGTCTTGTTTCGGCTTACCTCCTTGAACCCCCCTCTGTGTGTGTGTGTGTGTGGGTGGGTGCTTGAGTGTCTGCGTGCTTGGATGCGCTGCGTTGTCAGTGACAAACAAAACATCACGGAGTATCTCTCTATTTGTAGTTGCGATTGACGAATGAATTTATGTTTTATGATGTTCATGTCTCCGATTTTATGACTTTCATGTTTTCGTTTTCACACACGTTCTTGGAAAGCACAGAAGATGATTGCGACACATGTGCAGCGTCGTGCTTCAAGCTGGGAGCACAAATCTCGTTTCACCCGCCCGCCCTCCCGGGAGAGAGACTGTGGCAGTGATCGGGAAGCCTTCGTGCGGCCATCATTGTACCGCCTTCGTGCGGGTGTGTGTGCATTTGCTGCTCTTCGGTCTCTTGAGATTCCCGTCGCGTGGCATTCGAAGTTGGGCAGCAGCATCATCCCCTTTTGCGGTCAAAATGAAGACGGTCCGAGTGGTTGCTGCAATTTAATATGTTTTTGACAAATATTCAATGTCCCATATATCAATTGGGAAATACTGACTGGATTGCGAAGTGAAGCGAGTCACGACCTTTGTGATGCACCTATGTTGGATGTGCGTGCATGTTGTATGTGTTGGTGGAGTTAGGGCAGGGGTTCAAGAGTAAGCCAACAAGACATCACGGAGATTCTTGAGGATGACATGCATGGTTGGATGGTTATGTGGGCTGGGAAGTTCGCAGAAGCGGCAACCCGTCTTGCACATTGGATCGAGGGTTGCTTCTGCCGCGAGCATATCTTGGTTTCCCAGATGCCAGCCTCCAAACGGCGAAAGACAATGATGGAAGAATCTGGATCTGGCACTTGTTGCTGGAAGGGGAAGAGGCTTCCAGAGCTGGCCTGCGGGAAGATGACGGACCTCATCCAGTACTTTACAAGCCAGGCCCGCACAGAGTACATCTCGGAGATGCTCGCTGCACCGGCTGATGTCCGAGCACGTCTTACAGCGATAGATGCACTCGCGACAGAGCAACTTCGCGTAGTGCTCGAGCAGAAGTTTGCATATGCACAGACCATCCCTTGGGTGGTCTGTGCAGCGTTTGGGGCGTACACTGGCATCCCCTGGGATCGTTCCAAGGCCGCCATTTCGGAAGGCTTTCGTCAGTAATCCCAGGTGACAACAGGTGGCGCTTTTGCGGATGCAGTGTCCTTTCGAGCCTTTTCCGGTCAGATGTTGGAAAGCCGGCAGCTGAAAGCTGTTGCAGACTCGGAGTTGCCCCTGCACCATTACGCCGAGGCGTGGACCATGGTGCAAGAGTATTCTTTCTGCAGCCTCGCGGAGCGAGGCGCAGAGAGACAGCACTCCGAGATTCGCAATGCTGCGAGGAGAGGCCAGCGATATGCCGGCCCTGCGGTTGTTGCGAGCCGGAAGCGAGAGAAGCAGGTCGTAGCCATGATTGGTGATCCCCAGCAGCTGCAGTTTCTTGTAGCACACTGGCGTGATAGGCAGATCTGGGAACACCTGCTTGAGCATTGCTTGCCGAAGCAAACAGTCAGGCGAATGACAGTTGTGCAGAGATTGGCGAAGGTGTATGCATACCACCCAGACGAGCACTTCATGGACGTGAGCGAGGAGGCAACTGCCCAGGCCGTGTACCAAGGCGTTGCTGGATGCTTCGGCTGCTGCCCGCACGGAAGACTCCGTGCCGTTGAAGCTGGACCCAGTCAGATTGTGCACTTCCTGAAGAGCCATCTCCAGAACGGCAGCCTGGTGTCGCTGGGTGAGGAGGCCTTCCAGCTTGCCCTCCGCTACACACCCAAGCAGCCGGAAGAGGAGGCAGATGTGCCTGCTGTCTCAGGACTTGTGGCTGAGCTTGCGAACAGAAATGGTAGTGCCAGCAGTTTCCTTGGATCCGTACTTTTTCACGGTGCTGGATGCTCGACCCGAGCAGCGGAAGGATGTTCGGGCGGATCGGGGCCGCAGCAAAAGCAGCATACTTGTGATGTTGCACACACATGTCCGAGTTCTGTCGGACACAGAAGTGCGGGTACAGTCCAGTGGGAACAGGCAAGAGTATTCTGGCGAGCTTCTGTAACCAAGCACGGATGCAGGTGTTCATGCATTCGTGCCGGGTTTGGATTCCGAGGGCTTCCGACGTCAGCTTGCACGTGTTGACTGCAGGTGCAGGCCGGCAACCAGACCTCGTGCCCATCCCAGATTTCATCCAGGATCATGAGCCCGCCTCAAGCTTCAGCAACCAGCTTCGGCGGAGGCAAGCCGACATGCAGGTCGTCGAACACGAGCCGGAATTTCTGCTGAAGCCATTGTCCTCTTGAAGGCCAAGGAGGATCTATTGCATGAACTTCTTCGTCACGGGGCTTTGGGAGGGCGTCATGTTTCGGTGGATGATTTGTCGGATTTCAATGCTGCTGCTGTTCAGAGACTGCAACAACATGGCATTCTTTCGGGTGAAGAGGGGGCCTTCGGCGACTTGACCTTGAGCATCGCCAGCAGCCTGCAGCTGCTGCCCGAATGCACATGGTCCGAACTATTGTCGATCTGGGAATTGAGCCACTTCTTCTTAACCCGGGGAAAGGTTGCCCTGACATCCAAAACAGAATATTTCAGGTTGCTTTTTAAACAGGGGTGGAAGCCCCGCTGCGACGACGAGAGTGAGTTCTTTGAGTGGCACTGCCGTGATGCCACTGCGGAGTTGCCTGCTCAGGGTCTTGGCATGTCGTTGCCATATCTTCGCTGCTTGCTGACTTCTGTGTTGTTGTGGCAGAAGCCGGGCAACCTCCAGCGAATCTTGGTGAACGGGCCTTCGAAGTACTATGAGTACCTCATGAGCTCGGTCGACCTGTCTGCAGTGGCAAAGTTGACGGCTGAAGCGTGCATTCGCTTGCGATGGCGTTGTCTCGGGCGACAGCGAAACTGCTCGCGTGCACACACACGCGTGCATGGAGCGAACTGTTTTCACACTCATGATTTTACATGTCTTCTTGATTTTCACGCTTGATTTTCTGAAAGAAGGAAAACATGATCTTTGTTCATGGCAAAGTTTTGGCTTCAGGCTTTCATGTTTTCTTCGGGGCCCTCTACGCTTCTAGCTGCGTCTAGCAGGTTTCGGGCCTCTAACCTGGTGTTTTAGCTGCCCGGAGTTTTCGCCATGGCCCGCCACATGTTCCTGGCCTTGGTTCTTTTGATCCTCTGCTGTGGCTGCGTGCATGTGGTGCTGGCTGCACCGAAGACGGCGGCACCGAAGCAGCCGAAGCAAGGAGAGGAGCCCAGTTCGCTGAGTGACCCTGCGTCATCATCCTCGGGTGGTGGCGGTGGATCATCGACAGCGTCGAAGCCAGATGCCGTGGTTGGGGAACTGGTGGCTTTTATGAAGAGATACGGCCAGAACAGTGATCATTGGCAGGCCGAGTTCGAACAAGCTGGACTCCATGTGGAAAACATGCTCGCATCGTTGTCGGAAGAGGAAGATGCACTTTTGCTGCCACGGCTACAGGAGGCTTTTCAAGGGACCGCGCCGAAATCTCAGCATGAGATGATATTCCGGCTGCTGGCCCAAGGGCAGATCTGCGATCTTCGTCATAATGATACGGCTCATCAAGGCTGAGAAGTTCGGGGAAAGCAATGACAGTGTTGAGTCCGTGCCTCGGACCTCGGGCCTTGCTTCTGCCGTGAAGCCCTCTTTGGTTTCAGTGAGACATGTTTCAAGCGTTTTCTGCGTTGTCTCACATCTTCATGCCTCTGGATTGCCGTCGTGTGAAAACCACGGGGCGTGGTCATGATGCAGGCTCTGGCTGCATTGCGTCTTGCTTCCAGCGCACCTGATTTCCTTGCACTTTCTGCGAAACCTTCAGATCTGCACTTGCCTCGCCCATGCATTTTCAGCGGGGGGTTTTCGCGGCATAGGGGCTCGGGTCCCCTCTTCTGGCCGAGGCGGGTCTTTGAATGCCTTCAGGATAAGGGTTTCTGACTCAGCAGCTCCACCCAGGCAGTGGAGACTGTTCTCCCGTTACGGTTGCCCTCGCCTCGGCAAACTGGTGCCCAGGTCGAGTGCACTGCTTGCTGCTCTGATCAGGTCGCTTACATCGGCCAGGTGGTCCGCTCCAGGCCAGCGAACTGGTGCTGGTCTTGAGCTAGCCTTTGCTTCCTCCCGCTCAGGTCGGGCGAGTCAGGTCTGGAAGGTGTGCTTCTCAGGTTCTGGCATCCCTCTGGTTTCAGGTTTCCTTTCTTTCATGAAAGGTCGACTGGCAGTTTCGTGCATCCCAGCTTTCGCCTCAGCAAACTGGTGCTGTCTTCGCAAAGCTGGTCGATGCTTTTTCTTCCTCAGGTCTGGTGATGTCCCGGTGAGCTGGTGGCATCGTCCTCGGCCGGACCTCGAGTGAGACTGAAGCATACCGGGCTTCGGTCAAGGTCTGGGCTCGGCTGGATAGGGACTACCTCTCGTGGCGGCCTTGGACCGGCGGCAGAAGGCAACAGAGCTGATGCTTGCCGTTCTTGGTCAGGTCACTGGTGGCTGGCACCGACGGCCTTAGCTGCGCCCTCGTGGAAGCTAGCTGGAGCTGAAGCCTTACCGTGTCCCCTGGTCAGGTCACGGCGACTGGAGCCCTGCCGGGCGTCATGAGGGGCTTCCGCAAGCGTTGGTCGGAGCCCGTCCGAGAAGGGGGTGCGAGAGTGGCGGTTGGTTCTGCCGGGAACACAGGCTCGGAACAGGAGTCCCGCACTTTGGAAAGCGGCTTGCCGGGGCCGATTTTGAGGCCCATCTTGATTCGCTGTTAGAGAGTGATCACGAAGGCCTTTCTCCGGATGGGGACCAGGACCCAGCAGTGGGCTCTGGCGCTCAAAATTCGGACACCTATGTGCCGCCATCGTCGAAGGCGGCCTCCGGGCCGTTGCAGCCCCAGCCTCGGGTGTTGTGCATGCTGGTCACCCGGCCATAGTTGGGTTTGGCCCTCGCCCCTAGGTCCTTCTGCCAACCTTACCCGGTTCCCGAGCCCTTTAGGCCTCCTGCCAATTGCTCCAGTGCCGACTGGTTATAGAATAAGGGAGCCGCCACAGGTCAACCGCTTGAGGGCAGCGTGATGGCACGGGAAGGATAACCGGCACCGGCCCTTGAAACGTTTCCACATTCTCCTTATGTTAGAGCCGGAAGCGACCCAGACGGGTCGAGATATGTTGGGTCGTTTCGGCGTGGGCTTGGACCCCGCAGAGTCCATGCAGATTCTGATTGATGTGCTCCAGCCGAAGGCCACAGGCACACTGGAGAAGCGATCCGCTTCGCTCTGGAAGTATGCCGTGCACCTGTCGCCCAGGAATCTGTCGCCCTTTGTTGCAGGCGAACATGATCTGTATGCATACGTTGATCGCTTGAGGCAGGAGGAGGTCGCTCCGACGGTGGCCACGTCGTTCCTTGAATCGCTTAGGTTCGCTAACGGGATGTTCGTTTTCCTGGCCATCACCATCAGGTCAGTTGACACCCCACGCGTCAGGGGTGTGGCGCATGCTTTGTACGTGTCCAAGCCTCCGAGGAGGCAGGCGCCGGCCCTTCCGGTGGCTGTGGTGCTTCGTCTGATCAGCATAATCCAATCCGGGGACCCTTTGCACTGGAGGCTCATTGCGGGACAGCTTCTTGCGTGCGTATTCGTTGTGGCGAGGTGGTCGGACTTGAGGGCCGTTTCCGATTATCGGTTTGACATTCACCAGGGTATCGAAGTCTTCACTTGTTCGGCCCGAGACCACATAACCTCCTTGACCATGCAGCAGAAGTGCGGGTGTTACCTGGTATTGTCACAGGCTCAGTGGCATCATTCATGCTGCATCTTCGTCTGGGGATCGAAAGCTGTCTTGCGGGCGTGTGATATCGTGCAATTACCGCCTCATTCCCTTTGATCAGCTTGATCGTGTTCAGAGCACTTTTTGCTCCCAGTGCAGTGCCTCGCACAGTTACCAGAGGGTGACCGCCGAAGCTCGGCCGTGATCCTAGCAACATGCCTGTCGGCTAGGCCGTGACCGCATGCGGGGTCCGAAAAACCATGTGCTCGAATCTGAACTGTCGGCGTGCTTGCAGCAGATACCTGTGATTCTTTCCCACACGGTTCGGCCCAAGTTTTCGGCGCCCGATGAATAGTGACACAGACGAGCTGCGGCTGCATGTGGACCTCTTAAAGGTTTGGATCCAACGGGTCGAGGAGCAGACCATTGAGGCTCTCGCCCAACTGCACCAGAGGATCGACTTGTTGGTGGAGGCACTGCGCCGGCTGGAGGCCACGGTTCAGTGTCTTCGGCTTCCTGCCGAGCCGGAGAACACCGACTCGGCTGACCAGGACTTGTCAAGCCTTGACTGATAGTGTCTCCCGAACCAAAGCGTCGAGCATGCTCGTCCCGTCAGCGACGGGCGTCGAGATCACGATCGGCACGCCGGCACTGCGATGCTCCCCGCCTCGTCAGTCAAAACAGAGTGTGCGAGTGATCGTTCTTCTTTTTCAATTATCATATGATATTCACATGAAAACATATTTGATTGCAAGCTTTCCTTGAAGACATTTCGATTGAGTTGTAAACAGTTTCGTTTGAGACGAAATTAGTGGGCGCCCGCAAAGCACGTGCCACGGATGCTGTGGACATGGCCTTGGACAACGACCCAGAGCAAGAGGACGGGTATGAGGTACTGGCAGCTGCTGCGGGTGTCGCAGCAGGTAGCGAGGTGCCTCAGTCCGATCCGGAGCTCTTGCAGTTGAACATGCCCAAGGAAAGCAGCAGAGCCATCGTCGTGAATGGCCGGAGCTGCCACGCGTATTTTGACAATTACACCCATGCCTCCGGCCAGTTGCTTTTGTGCAGTGTGGCAGACATACCAACTGCAGGTTGTATGTCTTTGTGCACAAGGTGCGTGGCAAGGGTCGTGCTGTTGCCTACCTGCAGCGTTGGTTGCAGGAGGCCTCAGCCTATCCTGGTCTAAATGGCGACAAGCACAAACAATACAAACCGCCAGACACTGATGTAGATGCCCTCTTGTTAACCCAGGCCGTTGCTCAGTAGGTAAGCACGGAACAGTGACGAGTCACGAATCACGAGGTCATGCTGCTGGCACAAACATGGTTTCGGCGCCGCCTGTAGTGTTCTGAGATTTGAGATGATGGTGTGTGATGGCGTGGTTTAGTGTTCTGAGGTTTGAGATGATGATGATTATGATGATGTTGATGTGTGCGATGGTGCGGTTTAGTATTCTGAGATTTGAGAGTGATGGTGCGGTTTAGTGAGTTTAGTGTTCTGAGATTTGAGATGATGATGTGTGATGGTGTCGTTTAGTGTTCTGAGGTTTGAGATGATGATGTGTGGTGGTGCATTTTCAAGGACCCAATTAATTTCTGCATCAAGTCGTGACACTGTACATTGATGTGTAGCACAAGCTGTCTGCAAAGCCAATCCTATCAGAACTCGCCACAGGGTTTAATGATGCTTCTTGATGCCACAGATTTTTGGCTTTGAGCCTTGGCCTTGGGCGGTCCATGGCCCGTCCCTGATGGAACTACTGGCCTGCGGTGTTCTTTGAGGTCAGGTAGGAGTCCGGCGAGGGTGGCAGAAAGGGTTTGTGTAGGCTTGTGTTTCAGATGCTCCTGCAACCCACGGGACTGGCTCACCCCTACCACTGGGACGCCTTTGGCGACAGTGGGTGGGGCGGCCAGCAACCCCAAGAGACTGGCTGGCTCCTACCACTGCGACGCCTTTGGCGACAGTGGGTGGGGCGGCTGGCTCCTACCACTGCGACGCCTTTGGGCGACAGTGGGTGGGGCGGCCAGGCGGTCAGCAACCCAGGCGATGTTCGGAGTTCAGTCAGGAGTCAGGTTCAGGGTTCATCAGCTTGCTTGTGCCTGTATGTAGACACCTTCTCAGCTTGTGCAGGCGGCGATGCCAGAGTCGAAAACGGGCACACGAGTGCGTTTGCAAAGCCAACCCGACGTTGCCATGCCAGCTGGTTGCACAAGTCAACCCTATCGGTACCTGCCTCAGGTCCATGCCTCCTTAGCCAGGAGCCCATCCTCCTCCCTTGCTCACTTCAACTTCTTTGCCATCGAACAGCCCTGCCTTTCGCTCAGGTTCTCGCCCTCGTCGATTTCCAGCATTTCGCCCCTAAGGCCCGAAGCCTTTGGGTTTTCCCTCCCGAGCCCCTGCTGCTCAGGTGTATCCACGCCTACTACGCCTTCCATGCCTTCTGACTGAAGCCTCAGTGACTTCTCACGGAATGTCAAACTGTTGTTTGTTTCACGCCGGAGAGCCCGCCTCCGGCTACTGCTTCAGCCTGCTCGTTGCTACTAGGTCAGCCTGCCTCCGCTAAGAGAGTACAGCAGGTTTCACGCTCTCTCAAGCTGCCTTAGCTTGCTCACCCAAGAATTCAAGACGACTCGTCTTCTCACAAAGCCTAGCCTGGGGGGTTTCCTTTAGACTAAGTCTGCCCTGCAGCCTTAGTCCCCTCCGGGCTAGCCGCAAAGCCTACAGATCCAGTACGGTGAAAACAGAGAGAGCAATGTGCTTGAGCAGTGCAAGCCCACCTAAAGCTTTGAGGTTTATTGCAGCTGTCTGGCTCAAGAGCAAGCTTGTGGCCTGATGTTCACATTGATGTCTCGGTCTTCCAGACCGGACTGGCAACGCATCGAAGTAAGTACCTGCTTTGCTCGATCATCGTCTATCTCGGTGACTCTCCAGACAGTGGTCATCATTTTAATGTGGCTTATGGTATTCGTACTGATTCCTATTTTGTCCTTGATGATTCGGTTGGTGCCAGAGCCGCTGATGTTGGTGAGATTCGAGGCTTGGCTAGTGACATGTACGTTTTAATTTTAATATGTGCAAGGCCGCAGAGATGTGCAACTGCACAGCTGTGGCCGAGCACAACGCTTGTCCCTCAGTAGCGTTCGCAGAAAGACGACTTCTGCTACGAGGAAAGTGAAAGTGAAAGTCTTTGTGAATGTTTTTGTAGCATGTGCACGTGCACGTGCATATGGATGTTTGTTTTGGTTTGGGTTCAGGAGGTTGGGCATCTAAAGCTTTACAGGTTTTAAGTTTTAAAGATTGAGAGGGTTAGGCATTTCAGCTGTTCAACGGTTCGAATTGGTGATTGGCGAAATGGCGTTGGAGGTGTTAGAACGCGAAAAATTTTGTAAGCAAAACTGCGGTACATCGCAGGTTCAACAATTTCCCCAAAAGTGTTGAAAGGGTAAAACCTAAGCAGCTGCACACACACACACACACACACACACACACACACACACACACACACACACACACACACACACACACACACACACACACACACACACACACACACACACACACACACCCACACACACACACACACACACACACACACACACACACACACACACACACACACACACACACACACACACACACACACACACACACACACACACACACACACACACACACACACACACACACACACACACACACACACACTCACACACACACACACACACACCTTCTTAAGCCGTGCCCCTCTGCGTTTTGCGGAGGAGCGAGCTTGTTGGTGTGTTTCTAAACTAAACGATGTTAGACGAAACTTGTCCCAGCTTTTCCATCTCGTGTGGGTCACAGAGGCAACTCGGTCCTTTTTTCATCGTTCGTCCTTGTCATCGTTCTTGCTAAGACTTTTTCCTGTTTTTTTCTGGCGCGTGTCCTTCTTTGTCCTTGTATCTCACATGACGCTCCCAAAACAGAACATGTTGGAGGCAGTGTTGAAGTCCATCCGTGATGTTTGTTTTGAGCCGGTGCGAGTGGCTTCGATTGTTGATCAAAACGCTGTGGGAAGAATAGCTGGTAGCACCGCCGACCGCAGCATACCGAGACTTCAGCGAATGATGCGAGCGACCCCCGATTACTGATCAGCTCTTATTTCACCACCTCTTCAATGACCGTGGCTAAATTAATTGGTTCTACTCATTAGCACGAACGTGGACAGCCGCGATAGCGGAATCATCTGCAAGCACAGCAGTCAATGAAGATGGTTTTAGTTTTGCGAGAGCTCTCCGCAATACGCGGATTCAGTTTCAGAGTGGAAACTTGTCCCAACATCTCGAAGTATTAAGTTTTTTCGTGCAAAACCATTTTTTCATGTTTCATGCCGACGGGTATCCACATATTTGGCAGCCATGGATGTTTCTGCTTTGTACGATCTATGATCCCGATTGCCGACCGCAATTAGCTGTTTCCAATATCAGGTCTTTTGGGTAGGGCAGCATGGTGCGTGTCGCAATTTGTGCCTTGGCACTGTGCGCCCTTGGCACCATGGCCCAGTTCTTGCCACCAGGAACCACAGATGTTCCAATTCCAAGACCAGGAGATTGTGGCCAAGTGGGCCCTGCAACATATGTTTATAGAATGTCACAGGAGAAGCCGAATGATTATTTCCCGGCCATTTGTGCCGGCATGGGTGGCGCAGAAGTTCGCTTTAACGACCCTTGCGCGTGGGCCCATGGACAAGCTCAAATGACCGGAGCCCATTTTACGAATATGTGCAAAGGTGCCACGCGTATGATTCACTGGCATAACCAAGCTGATGAGTGGGGCTTTGTTAGCAAAGGACGACTTATGACTTTTGTGGCCAGCCCGGACGGGCTGCCGTGGCCGAGCTCTACCAACATCTTGGAGCCACGTGGTGTGTGGTACTTCCCGTCAAGCTGGCTGCATGGACTTATGTGTGTTACGCCAGAGGAAGAAGGTGGCTGCGAGTTCACCATCGTGTTTGCATCGCCTCAGGCAGCAGAACCCAACGGCCACAATCTCGACACCACATTGGCACAAGCGGACAATGACGTGGCTGCTACTGCCCTTGGGCTTTCACTGCCCCAATATCAAGCTTCCAGACCTGCTTTTGGCAGAGCAGAGCATTCTATTCATTACAGCAACAGCAATATGACAGCTCCCATTGTAACAGCAGTGGCTCCTGGCGCATGTGATCCGGAGTGCCCACCAATTCACGAGACCGTTGGGGCACCAGCAGCAGTCCAGTCCATCGTAGAGCAGCGAGTGGAGCTGTCAGGTGTGACGGGAGTCACATTGTACCGCATTCGCACAGACCAGTTCCCTTTCTCTCGCACAATGTCCCAAGAGCGTACAGAGCTAGCACCCGGGGCGGTTCGTCCCGTGGTTTGGACAACAGCGGACTCCTTCTTCATGGTCGTGTCGGGCACAGTCACTGTTTCAATGGAGGGCGGCATCCTGGGCAAGGAGGCGCACCTGGCGTTCACGAACGAGACCCTGAAGGCCAAGGACGAAAGCCGGGAACGTTGATAACTTGCAACGCAACTAAACAATCGAATTAGCTTTGCAGTTTGTGGCCTTGTTCCGGTTTGACATAAGGTTGTTGGCATTGAGGAAGGGATTTCTTTGAGTACCTTACCTGTGCAACGTATTTTCATCAGGGATCCCGTTGCTAAGTGTGGGTACACTCTGCACATGCTTGAGCCCGAGACCAGAGTGGCAGACAACCTTGACCAGCCAAACTTCTTTGCCTTGAAGCCCCAACAAAGCTTTAAACAAGCCTGTGAATCAGGCCGGTGACGCTGCGTACTTCCCCAATGGACGTGCTTACTGGTTCCGGGAGACGACCGGTAAGACCTCTGCAGAGACCATCAATGCATCTGGTTTTGAAGTGAGTTTTCGTGATTTACAAACGCTTTCAAGGGTTCAGATTCAGCTTTGGTATTCTGCAAAACTATGTGCGTGGACTCAGCACGCCTTTGCGGGTCAAAGTTGTTCGATTGCCGTTTTTGAACTTGATGAGGCCCCCCAATTGCGTCAGGAGTCGTTCGCTTTGATTGAAAGCAGTCATGGAATCTCTTCCTCTTGGAATTTTTGGTTGGACCCATCGTTGCGAAATCATGCATTTCAGACCGTCGCGTCATTGACCTTTGTGTTTCTCCCGGAATCTTCAAAGCAGAGTCCGATTATGCTGTCATTGAAGGTGTTCAACGTCGGCATCTGGAAAAGCATTGAGTTGGGTCACGCCATCTCCGAGATGCAGCTGGGCTGGATGTGAGTAGTTGGTCTGGGGTGTAGACAGTGGCTTAAGGCTTAAGAGCTGGTGGTCGTTGTTTGTGGTTGTCAGCAGAGCCGCCTATTACTTGCTTTGGCTTCCACACGTCGAGGCCCAATATTGTGGTGATGTCCAACCTCCACCAAGCACACTTCGCGAAGCCCGTCCACATCTGAGGGGCCCAAGGATGGCCCCAGCTGCACTGTGGCCACTATTGTTTCTTTTTACCAAGTCGGGCCATGGCCACAGTTCATTTCTTGTTTGACCTGAGGATGCACTGAGTCCTGGGTCAGATGCTACCTCACTGCATTCGTCAGCGGTCTTTTGTGTACACTAGTCAGGAGTCCGGTCCTGGCGACCTGAAATTTTGTACTGCATTCATTGCATTCCTTCCTACTTCTGGGTGATGTTTTCAGTTCGTCCTTTGAAGCCTCGACGTTGAGAAAGCTCTGATGTGCGACTCAGACCCTCTAAGCTGGATGGACAGAAATTGTCGCTGTGCTCCAGCTGTAAGCATACTTGCCCACGCACTCACCCACTCTTTGCCAAAATGGGCGCAGGTTTCGTTCACGTTTGGGAATGTTGCTTTATAAAGCCTGCGATGGTATTTGTGTGGCTCGAGCGCACTTTAGACTGTAGCTTCGTTCTCTTGTCCCTGCAAACACGCGCGTGGTCATGTTCCCAAATGCGGCCATGCACCTCGGTGCAATCTACGCGACCCGAGGTTCTGTTTCAGGTCTGAACAAGCTGTAACAGTCAGTGTACTTCTCAGGTCTCTTGCGCGACTCCTGCTTGTCGTCCTGGCTCTTGTGGGCAGGCACGGCATTGAGAGCCCTGTAGCAACCACAGAGCCTTTGCTGGCTTGCAACCCTGAGCACTTGTAAGGCAGCTCTGGGGCAAAGTCAATTTTACGACGTTAACCGGATCCTCATCCTTTTTCTCTGGCCCATGCACTCCTTGCACCACGCACTTGAGCCCTTTCCCGACCAACGAGCCACGAGCGTCCTGTGGCCAGCACCCTGCCGGACACCAGCTGCGTGGCAGAGGGCCGAGACTGGGAGGCTATGAGGGGGGTTGATGGATGTTGTGGTTTGTGCTGTGTGCTGATTGATGCTAGGTGTTGGGGGACCAGAAGAGTCTTTGGCTTTGAGGTCTTCGCTCGATATTTGAGCTTCGAGCTCTGCAGCTTAACAGCCACCGTTTATCTGTATCCTGCCGAGAATTGAAAGGTCAAACAGCTTCATCACGGGTCTCATCCTGTGAGAAGGCTTTCTTGAGTCGTCGTTCGAGGAGATGCTGGCCTAAGGATCGTCTCTGAGCCTCAGGGACCCAGCACAAGAGTTCTTCGCAGAATCTGACCAGACAGTTGTTGATCATGCTGCACTTTGCGGCAATGGCCTAGCTCTCATGAGGTCACAAAGACCAAGCTGGGACTGCCTAACTGTGTCTCTGCGGCTTTCTGCTTTGTGTGAATCTGTGTTGGGTTGTCGCTTCGAGACTTTATCTTAGGGCTTGTGCTGCGAGCCTGTGGCGAGAATACTTGGCGGTTGGGTGTTGGGTCGAGGCCAATTTCAGCATTGCCTCAGTGCAGATCCCTAGTGTCCCAGCTGGTCCTTGAGTGCTTTAACTTAGAAGATGAGCCTCATTTACCTGACGTGGAGGCTTGGGCTGGCCTCGGCAATCGAGTTTGCCGTGGCCACACTGTGGACGAAAGTGATCCCCTCGCAGCTCGGCTGACGAGCGTTGAAGGCCAAGGTATCCAGTTTAGAATGTGATTAAGTTGGATCTTGGAAGATTGGAGTCTTGGATTGTGCTGGTTTGTGGACACCGAGGAGTCGAGCAGTGGCTCAGGTTTTCAGGCAACAGATTTAAATCCTGGAACAGGCCGTTGGACTTCGATCGTGCAGACTAGAACCTGGGAAGTCGAAAGTTGATACGCGGGCTGACACTTGGACAGCCCGGGGTGGGAGGCCAGAAACTCAGTATGATAGAGTTTAGACAGCAAGTTTGCAACTTGCCCGACCCAAGGAGGAAAAGCTCCGACACTGTAACATGCCGAGGTACAGACGAACAAATTTGAGGTGCCAAGAGAGGCCTTCCTCTTGTAACCAACGAGTGTCTCGAGTGAGTGGAGTAAAGCGCAACATGCAGGAACCTCTGCAAAAAAGGGCATCGGGGACCTATGCAAAAATTTCATTGCCTATGTTCTATGAGTAAAGAAGGTTTTCCGCTTTCTGAGCATCATGCTGCTGCATGGTGACGGCACTGAAAGTTGTAAGACTTCACAAGTAGAATCTGGTATATTTGGCTTGATCCCTTGGCTGCACGTGGTAAGTTAAGAGTGGTCTCCATTCTCGCCACAAGCTTTTTTCCGAAGTCGGGAGGAGAGCCCTGAAGAACGCAACAGGTTCGCCAAAGAGCCGCACACGACCCGTGATTAGGCTTGCGGCACCAGCAGATCATCACGAAGAGCAGACATCCAAGCCTGTAGTTCCGACCGGAGTGTAAGAACGGTTTAGTGAATGGTTCGATGTCTTCACAGGGTCAAGCACTGTTGGCACAGACACATGTTCGGGAGACAACGTGCGCGAGTTAGACAGATGTATGAATACTGGATACGGGTGGATGCGGCCTGAAACAAGCTAACATGTAAGGCAGAGGGAAGACAAGTCCAGCCAAGTGGTCAAACCCACATGGAGGAATTGCAGACAGTAGCACCGACAAGTGAGTTAGCCGACCTAGTCGTAGGCGGACTGCAGCAAAGCAGCCGGATAAATGTTTCCCTGTTCTGGTCTCTGTTATGAAGTCTGTTTGGGTTTGTTCCACAAATTCGTATGTCTGCTGGGGTGTGCTAGATAAAAGTCTTGTTTGAACTAGTGCCAGCGTCGGATATAAGTGAAACTCGAAGCCGACCTCGTGCCTTAGGATTACAACGTGACCAGCGCCGCGACACTGGAGGAGAAATCATCCGACAGAATGCATGCAATGCTTGTAAGACCCCTCAGGTTTTGAAAATGGCGAGCTTTCCAGGAAGGTCGTTACCGTGTTTGCGACGAGCAGGCTAGGATGCCGATAGACCGTGGATCGCCGTTTCGGGGTTGCTTGTGAATATGGTGCGGGGCATTATTTGCGGCGCGTCAGGAGCATCAAAAATTGGCGCCGCGGACCTTGAATCTAGTTGGAAGCAAGCTTCGGCAAGACAGCCATGGAAGAAGAACAAATGCCAGCGGCCATAATGACATGTGTCGGGCGAGTCGGGCTTGGGGCTGGAGTTTGCTGGGGGCATTGAATCTCGCGAGAGGAATGCAAGGCGAAGTGCTTGGAGGACCCGTGCACATGCAAAGGCCAGGAATGATGTTCGGTGTCTCGGTAACACCGTGGAGACGGAATGTCCTCCGATGCTGGCTGAACCACTCGAACCCAAATCAAAGCTGCACTTCTGCATTGTGCATGTGGGGCAAAAGGGACCTCACGCCACCCTGAATTACATCAGTTACGGCTGAGAACGAAAGATATTGCACAGGTGTGGAGTACAACTCCGTCTCCGGCCGATGTGAAGTGTGGCATCGGGAGGTGGTGCCAAGAGATCAGTTCATTGTTGCTGGATGATGAATGCGAGGATGTCGAGGTCAAGCGCTTTGGACTCTAGATTTGTCAGCTGTGGAGGTCCGGTTCCCAATATCCCTTCGATAAAAAAAACTCTACTGGGTTCGGCACCCCGGCCGCCTTGTCCCCACACTGCACCAAAGCAGCCTCTGGAGGCCGGTATCTCCGCTTGGAGGGAGCCCGAAGTGCAGGGATTCACCTGCCAGAGGTCGGAAGTCGTGGGAGTGTGTCACACAGCTTCCGTTTCCTATTTGTCTTCTAGGTCAGGTCCCAGAGATTCAAGTCATTGCTTCTGAAAGGACAACCCTGTGTTATCGTGGTTGGTCAGCAGTCTGCGACAAAAGTCATACACCACCTGTTTCCCGTTCTTTTAGACAGCTGTCATGCTATATCGCTTCGTCGAGATTGTCAACATCTTTGTAGACTTCCAATCTGGGAGGTTTGGCTGGCCAGCAAAGTTCTTGATTCCTCTCGACGGCGGAGCGGGTCGGGCATGCCGCGGCGACACCGAGACTGACAATGATGACCGAGTCTCGGAAGCACGTTCAGATGATGTGGGCTTGGGAGTCTTCTGAGAGTTCAATCCTTTCGTCCTGGCAAAGAGTGTACTTGCCTCAGCAGCAAAGCAGTCGCACAGCATTCCATTGGTCAAGGATTGCAATCTTTGAAGCTGGACTGCTGCTGAAAGTCCGCATGCTAATTTGGCTTCTTCATGCTTGGTCGGGATGGCTTTTCAAACTGGCCTGAACCTACGTACGATCTAGCGATCTAAGGCTATTACAGGGTCGAGGATGTGATGCACATGGAGGAGCAGCCTTGGTTTCCTGGGCAGAGTACCCACAAACACCGCAAATACCGCAAACAACTACTCTAAACTCTAAACTGCAAGTCGTGTTGCTCTCTTGGCCGCCTGTTGGCAGCTTGAAACGAGTTGGTGTTGTGATCATTTCAATGCAGCCTGAGTTGTGCGCGGTGCAGGCGAGTGGAGTCGTAGTTGTGTACTTGTAGTGCCGACTTTCAGTAGTTTCTACAAGACGGACTCCTTGATATAGATCTTAACAGTTTAACAGCTGGGGGCTATGCAATTATATGCAACTATTGCGAATCCGTTCACCGCGTGAATGCTGAGATCGGGAATCTGAAAGGACTGCTCACTCGCATTTCGTTTCGTCATTCATGCTGAATGTTGAGATATATATTGTTTGTACACAGCAAGCAGTTCTTCATTTAGACTCGCGCTCTTCTGGTTGAGATTGGAGTAGATCTTTCATCATCACCCCCAGTGGCTGAAACTTCATCAAGCCAATGTTGGCTTCGGTGGGAACCTGAATTCATCACCTGTTGCAGCGCAACTCTGTGCATAATGCATCTTTTGGCTCTCTAAGTGCTGAGTCAATCCTTCCTTGTCTTGTAGTGCACGCGTGCACGTAGTGACGAGTACGAGCGGCAGCAGCAGTAAAGAAATGTAAAGAATGCCGAAGCTGCTGGCCGCTCGAGAGTTCTCATATTTTCAGAATAGCGTACGCCTCGCGCCGCCATGTCGACCGGCGCAGCTGGTGCCGCTTCACCCTTTCGCGTCGCCATGGACGTCTTCGCGATCTTGTCCGAGCTGTCGGACGAGGATCTCAAAGTTCTCCTCCGCTCCATGGGCTCCGACGCATGATGGGGGTAGGCCATTCGGCCCTCATGCAATTCGATGCGCACTACGCTACGCGCATCCAGCTTCGTGATCAAGCCCTCGAGTTCGCAAAGCAGACCACCATGGCAGCACAAGGAGTTGTGCCACCGCTCGCGCCGCTGGCTCCCTTCAGCAAGTCGAAGGCTGCGGGCGAAGGTCGGACCCAGGCCCTCCTGTCAAACAGCGTTCTTCTGTTGCTACGCCAGCTGCCGGCTGCCCCGAAGCAGACCCAGCCTGTGGTCAAGCCGATGCCAGCCGCACATGCAGTCACCTACGACAGCTTCGCCGGTGCCGAAGACCTCGACTACGACACCGCGGTGACTCAGGCTAAGATGGGAGCAGCCCGCAACGAGTACCCAGACGCCGTCTTCGACACCTACCACCCGAGCATCCAAGGCAACTGCAGAGACGGCACCGAAGGCCACAGCGACGCCGCCTACAATGCACTTGCGACGCCGGCTGTATTCTTGCTCGACGGCTACGTGGACACCGTGCCGCAGCGTGCTTATGGAGGCCATGCTCGCGCCTCGCCCGAGCTCGAGTACGGCAGCGCCGTCCCCGAGGAGTCCCTCGCACGAGAGCTTCTTCGACGAGGACATTGAGTTCTACAGGACGGTCCAGCCTCCGCAGAGCACGGTACCACAAGAGCCCGCTCCTCTTCTGCCGCCGGAGATGCCACCTGTTCCAGCTAGCAGCACGACGGCCGGACGACGAGGGGGAGCAGGACGACGAAGCACCGCCGAATGATGGCCCATGGTGGTCGAGCGCGGGGGAGGTGCCTCGCCACACACCCAGAAACAGCACTCAAGACGCCGGGCCGACCGACAGCTGGTGGAGCCAGTGGTGCCGGACCCGCCAGTTCAGCATGCGCCCGTGCCGTCGGCTTTCCCAACGCCGAGCTATGTTCATGCAGGCAAGCTCGCATGGATCGCTTTCGTGCCTGGGAATCTTGGCCAGAATCGTGTGACTTGCTTGAAGGGGAGAGTCGGGTTCTCCCCAACGGCGTGCAACCGGTCCCGGCCAAATATTCGCACTACGCCCCAGACAGGTGGTGCAAATTAGGCTGCGAAACGGCCAAGGCCGACAGGTCCGGAGTATATTTGTCGGTTGTTGCTAAAGACCGATAACCTGCGCACGGGCCGGAGCAGCTCACGGCCACCATTTCTGTGGCCCGTGCGATAGAGCACGCCAGGCAGCCGGCCGGCGCTGAATGGGCGACCGCGCCGCGCATGGATCTGTTGACGCTGCGCGCCGCGTCGTTTATCGATGCCCGAGCTACCTCCCGCATGTTCTCCACCTCGCGTTTGCTCTCTCCCTCTTAGATGCCAAATTCTGCCAGCACGAAACTCCTCTCTCGCATCAGGGCTCAACCTCGCTCTGATTCTCTTTCTCGAGGGAGTGTGTTTTCGTGTGCTTTCGCAGTTCGCTCGGTTCCTCGCGGGTGGTGCCCCGCCCCTCCCTCGCCTCGGTGCCTCACTCTGCCTGCCTGCCTGCCCCCCTAAGATGTAAACTGGGCGTGTGTCCCGTCGCTAGGCGCACAGGAACACAGGCTCGCAGGAGTCTCTCTTTACTACAGGCGCACAGCTGTACTCTGCTAGAACCTTGAGCAACACGCATGGACACATGCAAGTGATACGTGAAAAAGACAGACACCTGGATGTGTAACATTCAGTTTTTCAGCCAGGCACAAATTTAGGAACACGCAGGACTGCTGCATGGCCGTGAAGTCGACGTTCTACTTGCCTGCTATGGCCCAAGCGAATTAAGAGCGGAGTGATTGGATTACAATTGTGATGTGAGAGTCTGTACATCTCAGCCTGGAGACAGCGTATATGAAAAAGCAGAACAAGTGCACGAAAAGCAAACGGATCTTCGGTTCAAAACTATGCTTGTGAAGATGCCTGCATGTTCAGTTCCCTCTCCAGATGGAAAGCATGCTGCGCAAAGTTGTAGAGCTTGGCTCCACTTGATGCCAGGAATGGCATTTGCGGTTAGGCAATTCGAAAAGATTAAGAGTATCTTATCCAGTCACAAGTATCTCCATTGTCCTTTGGCAAGGTCCTGAGGAAGTACCTTTCCTTGAGAAAAGCATCTTTCAACGAAATGGTAAAGGCTCAAAGTGGATACCTTCTCCAGTGAGAAGCATTCCGTGAGACACTCAATCGACTTCATGCGCCAGTGTTTTCCTCAAGAGCGGCGCGGGCCCTCACTCAGCAATCGACGGAACCTGGGATCCTGTGCATCGAACTCCTCCTCATCGTAAGGAATTGGACGACGAGGATAGTGCCAACGTTCAAGTCGCACGCAGTGTAGTTCGTATCGAAAGCTGGGGTCCACACTGTCCAAGGGAATCGTAGGGCTCGGATCCATGTCTCCATCAGAGATGTCGTCATAGTCATCCTCGCCCACGTCAGAACCGAGTCAGTTCTTCTCCTTGCTCTTGCCTTTGGGCTTGCCATCAGAATTGCCTTTGGAGGACTTGCCTCCTTTGCATCCTTCTGCTTCCCTGTGAAGAGCCTGTTCCAGTTGGTCCAGGAGGTGCGGCAGACGGGGGGACCATCAGATCCACGTGCCTTATTCGCCTTCTGTCTTTTTTTCCTTCTGTCCGCTGCCTCTCTGACGGTGTCAGGATTTCGGTTCATCGCTCTCATCCGTCCACCTGTGTACTGGTTCGTGTGAACCTCGACCAGGAGAGGAGTATGGGCGTCGAAATCTCTGTCGCCCAAAATGTATGATGAGCTCGTAGAGTTGAGGAGCCACTCTGAGACATTGATCTTGTACTCCGGCTGGGTTGACGGAAATTCCGCCCACTGATCGTCAGACATACTATGCCCCCACTCCAAAACAGCAGCCATCAACGGATCAAGCCCCGGGAACGTGTTCCAATGGGGCTGCGCACAATTTTTATTTTTATGGTCTGCCTCCAAGTGCATCTTCATATTGCTTGCAGGCTCTGGCGCATGCCGCCACGAATGTCCATGGACTCCTGTCTGCGACCCGTAGCTCTACATAAAGCCATGTTAGGATCACCACTGATCAGATCGACCTGGTAGTGCAGGCAGTCCGCCAAAATTGTGCACAGCCATTCGTGAGCAACTGAAATCTTTCTCGCCGCGACAGTGTGCGTGAGATGGAACATGCATACGCGAATTCGATCAGAGCCAGCTTTCTCCAAGGTTCGAGTCATTGCTGAATCAGGGAATTCACCCCGATTGCCTTGGCTTCCTCCAATTGGCAGGGTTCCCCCGTAGACAATCTCCACGATCATGTAGGTGATAGGGAGATGCGAATGAGCTACCCCGACAAGTGTCGAGCCTGCTAATCGCTCAAGACTGCTGCCCACGACATTGGTCGTGCTTCCAATGAGGATGTCGCCAGGAGAAAGTCAAGTTCATCTTCGAAACCTCGGAGGCCTCACGCAACATGATGATTTGCTCTGAGCGATCGACTTGACAAGTGCCCCTCTCGGCTCTCCTGAAGAGTCATACTCGAGGAGGTCCGAGCAGCGGGAAGGAGCTGTTCTCTTTCGGCCGCGAGAAAGGTTCGCAAGGTTCAGGATCAAGGCAGTATATGTTGACTTGCTGGTGTAGACAGGAACTGGCCCGTCTTCTGCAAGACCAAAACGCTGGAGAACGGATTCGGCATCTTCTCAAGTGAGAGGTCCCTGATCTCGTCCTCATCAACTCCAACATTGAGGAAGTGTAGCATCGCATTGAGAATCCTCCCTCGTAGCTGGGTTACCGTCTTCGTGAAGATCCCTGACCTTGTCCAAGATTGCTTCCTGGACTTCAAGGGCGGATGCTCTCATCTCGGAGGCCTTCTCCATGAGACGAATCGTTTAGAGTTTAGAGCGGTCCGGACATCGCCTGATCGAAAGATAACATCCATGCAGTCAGGACGACGTTCCTAGATAGGCACCACCGCACAAAGTTGCTTGAAAAGATCATCTGCTGCACCACGATATTTCTGACTGGGATGTTGAGGAACTTCAACACGCCAGTTCATGTGCTGGACCTTAAAAGCACTGACAGGATCGTTCTCATAGTCGCGGATGCCGCTGTGATAAAGGCCACTGTAACCGTAGCCATGCTTTTGCTTCATAAACATCCGCGTGGGACTCGACCTCTCAATCTTGACCAGATTTGCAAGGAAGTCCTTGTGATCATTGGTGTCAACGAGGCCAATCTCTTCCCTGG